CGTTCAGCCCCCAGTGCCCCCAATCCCACTTCATAATGCAATGGGGCAGATCAAGGGCAGATCAGAATACAGACGGGTCCTGTTTATGCAGCAAGGTGCGATCTATACAATGCATCCATCCCATAGTCTGACCTCGATGATCGGCTAAGGAAACAGCTGTGACTTTTGAGGAAGGCTCTCTCTTAGGCCTTAATGGTCACTAAGAAATCCACACGTTGGGACTAATGGATTGTATTTGTTAAAAGTTCACTTAAATATGTACACTTTTCTAGAAATTCAATATCCATTGTGGGTGATTTCTTTGCCACATGCCAAAAACAAGACGTGCTAGTGCTAGCGGCTCTGATAGACTTTACTTAGACACAACAACATTCAAAGATTTATTGTCATATACACAACTACGGTTGATGAAGGAAAACACTTAGATCACAGGTTCCTCAACAGTGCAATTACAAGACATACATTTGGTAAATGCTAATGTCTGCTAGCAAGTATTTACAATGCTAACATCTAACTTAATTTAGCGTGTGCGCCTGTGTACACTTGATGGTTTTGCAAAAATTAGAACGGAGACTTGGAGGACGTTTATGCGATGAGATTTGGTCACACACCAAAGTTTCGGACACATCCTTTTCTTGCTGTTTGTTTACAGGAAATGTATCATTATGTAGTGTTATTATTTAAGTTCTTTAAAGTAGCTGTTTATGCTTTTATTTTGAAGGCAGCTTTGGGCACCAGGTGATGAGGTATTAATTGGAGACAAGTGGAGGTGAACTTGGCGCATCAGAGGGCCAGCAAATGGGCAGCAAGGCCAGAATAGGTGAACACATTGTTCGGTGTACTTTTGGATTATTGGAATGCAAAGCAATAAACTCCAAAAAGGATATTCTTGCGAGAGGGAATGCCCCAGAAACACAACTCCGCCTGACATGTATGGAATGGACTCTTTGACGCTCGAATATAAAACGCGGCTGCTAGAAAGAGAGAAGATCTGCAGGATCCCCATCTTCTCCACGGCCAAGCATTGAGGCTGTGAAACTGAGCGCTACATGCTGGACACGTGCACGTTCTGCCCGTAACACGAGTGACGCCCCCCCCCCCCCGGACCTTTATCTCTCCATCAGGACTCAGGAAGTGCTTCGGAACATGCTGGTGCAGCGATGCTACAGCGTGTAAAACACAGCTTTCACATCTAACGGGATAATTAGGATCCAAAGAAAAGGTAACTGTATTCCCTTACAGTTACATAAAGAAAACAGATACCTGGATAACAATCAGGATTACACTGTTAGTTAAAAACTAAAGAGCATCTAGTGTTTGTTGTGAAGGATCAGATGTTATCTCTTCTCTGTAAGCTGTACTGATCTGTAGGATAATACTTAAAGTGTGAATCTATACGCCTCCTGCCTGAGTCTGCTTTACGGTTTTCACTTTCTTTGGTTCATTTGTTCTGTTTTTAATTCAGCAGGTGAACCTGTTCATACAATCCAGAACTGGTGTCTGATTGCGAACCTAGAGAAAGTCTATAGATAGATCGAAATACGTCACAAGAAAGAACAAAATACACAATAACATATGCTAGTAGAAAACGGCTAATGCCTCAATGAAAGCAACAAGTAAGAATAGCTTCGGTGGCTATGCTCATCCAAGTCATACTAGATCAACTTTATTTATGGCGCTAGGTGGCCAATTGCACTTTAAAACTGAACAAAGTATTCATTTATGGGGAAATAGTCAAATGCATCAGGGTACGTTACTTGTGTGACAGTCAGACGGTGAGTTAGTACTTTCCGGTGGTGGATGCTGTTAGCAAACGCTAGGCTAAATGCCACTGAATTATAGAAGCAAACACGTACCCACGTCACTCTGGAGAACAGGTAAACGTTGGAGAAATCGTGCTTCAATTCAATCTGACTTTGAGATTAAGAGCAACATGAACACAGCTCCGACGCAGTCTGCCGTTGTTGTTGTTGTTGTTGTGTACTCTGACGTCTTGATGTGGATCCAACAGGGCTCTGATTGGTGGAATAAAAGCCTTGAATCCTATTTAGTTTGAAAACTAATGCCGAAACAAACTAGAGCTGGCACGAAAAGCACAGAACTAATTCTGACTGGAAAAGCGGTAACGAAATGCTAAAAAAAGATCCCAAAAGATGCATTTGATATTCTTTGATTTAAAGCAAATCACGCGAATACAGCTGACTCACGTTGTCCTGAGGGAGCTTACCTACCAGTAAGACCAGTGAAACCATCTGATTTCTAATCATTTATTTCTTAAAGAGAGGTGAAAGCAGCGATACAGGTGTAGAAATGGCAACATGATCTCAAGAAAGAAAGAAACAAGACCATTGAATATATATCAGGATAAACATTAAAGAAAGGACAAAAGCAAACGTTAATATAAAGTAAACACCATCTACTATTCAGCTCACGGCAAACAGTTTTATAGATTAGCAAATATCTTTTAGATTCTTTAGTCTGTATATAATATTTGTTATTTGGTATTAATGAAGGGTAAGAGAGGGGAAGAAGCACAAAGTTTCAAATATAACACATTCCCATTATCAACACTGTTTCCCTGAAATGACACATCCTATAAACATTTTAAATCAAACATACCAAGAACATGCAACCCACCACCGATGTAAGCACTCGGTAATAATATAGTATATTTACAAGATCTCCAGTTATCTACTACTCTAACATATTTGTCTGAAAGATATTTTATCCTAGCAGTTCACCCGATGCAAATCCAAACTCCTCCACACTCCAATATAAAAAAAAAAAATGGCCATACGAATGACTATACATACATTTTTATAATTGTTGTAGTCAACAAATGACAATGGGTTGATTTAACGGCCCGTCCACACAGCGGCGTGCGTTGAAGCTTGCCGGCGGGCGTGTCTGAAACTCGACCAACAACCAATCACATGAATCTCCCGCCCCTGACACACAAGCAGCAGTTTGATTGGCTAGAGCTTGTACTGGCATATGATTCGATTGGCTGACGCTTCTGCCGAGGCGTCAAAAGTTGAACATTGCTCAACCTTTGCAGCGAGCCACGCCAGCAAAGCTCCGCGTCGCTTCCCACAATGCAGTTCGGCGAAAAGTGACATCACCCCATTCAAAGTGAATGGTGAAGCGTCAACGCACGCCGCTGTGTGGACGGGCCGTAACACTGCAAACCTGCAATAAGCATGGTGTGTATCCAGAGTCATGTAACCTCCTATAAAACCCAGCATTCATTGAACAAATGGCGGGAAAACATCAACAAAACGTATTTTCGTTTAGTTTTAGAGTCACCGATGTAAATGACATGCCTGTCTTCGGGCTACAAGAGGAAACTAAAAGTTATTGGAGACTCTTACACTAAAACGAAATATATTTTGTTGAGGTTTTCCCGCCTTTTTGTTCAATGAATGCTTGGTTTTATAGGAAGCTACTCTGGATACACACTTTACCATGCGTATTGCAGGTTAAAGTGTTCATTCAGCCCATTGTCATTTGTTTATAAAAAATATACAATTAGCTAGTCAGTAATTTAAAATGTATTGGTAACAAAACACTGATTATGTTAATGAGAACGCAGATAGCTCAACTCCTGAAACAATACAACGAGTCCATTAATGTCTCTCAAATCTGTACTCACTTCCGTCCAAATGAAATATGGCAAAACGCACTACTAGAAGCATCCAGATGGTGCTCTTTTAAGGGTGAAAACCACTATAATTACATCAAAAAGAAGAATTTCCATGTGATTATATCAATTTAAAAGGTATATCAGAAGACTTTTCATTGTCTGGTTGAAAGGTAATCAAAGAAAAATCCTCCTTCCTCCACTTCACATGATTCTTAAGTTCTGGTTATGAGCTGCAGTGGAAAACCTGTCACCTATCAGCAGGTGTGAATCCCTTTTTCTGTCTATTCTTTGACTGGAAACAATCCACAGTGAAGTGAGCCGATGCAGAAGTTCCCGACCTCCTGTGAAACTGCAGACACTCGGAGGTGTCGGGTTTTTCCCAGACGGATGTAAAGGAGAGATCGGGGTGAATGGGTGAGGGGCGGGGGTCTGTTAGCTGAACCCTTTCGAACCCAAACGCAGCGGAAGTGTAGGTGACACAGCGGCTGGTGTGAAGTTTCCCTGCAGCCCTCAGCGTTTCACTCTACAGGCGAGAGAGATCCTCCATTCAAGACCTGCAGTAACTCGAGCATCAACGCTCCTTCCTTTCCTCCGTCCTCGCCCCCTTACTCACTTTAAACTTATCTCGTAGGGCGTACTGACTGTGTTGCACGTTATCCCCAACACACTGCATTGTGGGTACATATCACAGGGTATGTAGCCACCACGATCATGTGTTTAAAGACCTTCTTGTTCTCCCGTGCTTTTGCAGACCACGTATAAGACGTATCAGTCTGTGTTTTCTATTTTGTTGTGTTTTTAAATGTCGTTACATCGTGTATGAGAGTTTTTCAGTCTGGCTACAAGTATGGTTTTATTGTCTCGTGCTTTTACATTAGTTTTTTTGTCTAAATGTATTTATGCTGCTTTTTATATGTATTGATGTGGAGCACTTTATGTCAACACTGTTGTTTTTAAATGTGCTATATAAATAAAGTTGGATTGGATGTGGAAAGAGAAAGGGATCCAACGGGAAGAAGCAGAGAAAGCTTTCCGTCCTCAGGAGTAAATCTGCTCAAACAAAAAAAGCCTCTGAGTCTACCGTAAATAAAACATAATAACTTTTCCTTTTGTTTGCCTCATAACTTATCTGTATTCTGGTGTGTGTTTGTGTCAGCTTGGTTGCATGATATAAGTTCAATGTTGGTTATTGTGTTGTCTTCTAAGGAGTATATTGCTAGAACTGTACTGTCCAAAGATGCACTGCTCACAGATTAAAGCAAACGGGCCTAAGAGCAAACATCTAGAAAGGAAAGTCAGCATAGGCCTTTTGAAAACACAATGAACAGTGTAACTGCATAATGCAAACAGCAGCTTGTATTGTGTGCCTAATTTATTCTTCCTCAACCAATTTTAAAACAGTTTAACAGTTATATAAACACTACTAAGTCCCATGCATGTGGCAAGCAAGGGAGACATTTTTTTGCAACCTAACATCTTACGTTTAATAACAAAAACAACCCTATTATAAAATAGTTTTAGATTAATGTGCGTTTAACTGGTACAACTATTTCCGGAGGACTATGAAAACAGGTCCGAATTTGCATAACATTTTTAAAATTAGATGTTAGCTGCATCGTTACCTCAAGCCACTAAAGCACAGCGTCTTAAGCTTTGTGAATGCGGAGCACCTATGTGCAAATACTTCTATCGTATAGATTTGTTCTGGACATTAAACATCGTTACATTCAAGACTGACATTAATCTCCTCTTTTTGTTTATCTAAAAAAAGGGTCAAGTCAAAGCTTAGTATCCAGTAAGTGTTCATTGGAGGTTCCTAAAGTACCGGAGGACTTCTCGACTCAAAGACCCGAGGAGCTGCTGCTACGACTTTTGACTTTCGGCACGACTAGAATTTCGTCCCCGTCTTGAATCCGGTAGGAATGAAGAGCCCGAGTGCCGCACTTTAACTCCTCGGGTCCCAACACCGAACACATCTCCCGGTTGATGTAGAAGAGCCGGATGCCGTGGTGGGGAAGCTGTAAGAGAGCCCGGATGTGCTTCCTAAGTTCAGCCACCGTCTGCTCCAAATGGAGACTCATGGCCTCCACTTTTTCCCCCCAGCGAATGTCCACCATGGTGCTGCGGGGGCTCAGGTCCACCTCCGCCAGCGGGGCCAACCGACCGTACTTTGATACGAGGACGTGGTACCTGGGAGGAAGCATGTGAGAAAGATCACTGAAGGGTTCTGTATTTGGGTTGATATGAAGAAAGCTGGATTTAAAAGTAGGTGAGAAACATGGTTAGGGTTAGGTACATATGGTTAGTATGTAAATACACTGTCAGCTAACAGGCCATGCGTGGCTGCTGTAGTAATTTAAAGCCAACTAAGTAAATTAGGGTGCGTTTACACCACTAGATCTGAGCGAATAAATGAGGCAATGCAAAATGTGGTTTCCTTAGAAGTTGGCGGGATACACACTATCTTGTTTTGAGTCCTAAACCTTGGAAATTACTCACTGTTTTACCACTTCCGGTTATCTTTTCGGAAGTCAATGTTTTTTTGACTGTTTTTGGTTGTTAGCCTGAAATAAGGTCTGTAGTTAACACAAGCTGAAGAGATTTTAACATATTGTAAATAATTACCCACTGGTGAATTAAAGTGTCTAAATGAGACGACTAAACGTCATCACGCCCAACATTAGCCACCTTTAGCTTAGCGGTGGTGACTTGAAGTCATGTGACCGTGCTGTAGTTCCTTTATAGCCCAACATTAGCCTCCTTTAGCTTAGCGGTGGTGACGTGAAGTCATGTGACCGTGCTGTAGTTCCTTTATAGCCCAACATTAGCCTCCTTTAGCTTAGCGGTGGTGACTTGAAGTCATGTGACCGTGCTGTAGTTCCTTTATAGCCCAACATTAGCCACCTTTAGCTTAGCGGTGGTGACGTGAAGTCATGTGACCGTCCTGTAGTTCCTTTATAGCCCAACATTAGCCTCCTTTAGCTTAGCGGTGGTGACGTGAAGTCATGTGACCGTGCTGTAGTTCCTTTATAGCCCAACATTAGCCACCTTTAGCTTAGCGGTGGTGACGTGAAGTCATGTGACCGTGCTGTAGTTCCTTTATAGCCCAACATTAGCCTCCTTTAGCTTAGCGGTGGTGACGTGAAGTCATGTGACCGTGCTGTAGTTCCTTTATAGCCCAACATTAGCCACCTTTAGCTTAGCGGTGGTGACGTGAAGTCATGTGACCGTGCTGTAGTTCCTTTATAGCCCAACATTAGCCACCTTTAGCTTAGCGGTGGTGACGTGAAGTCATGTGACCGTGCTGTAGTTCCTTTATAGCCCAACATTAGCTTTTTACTTGTCCGAAGCTTCTATGCGTCATAAAAACAGGGTTTGCAAACTGACTGTGCAAACTACTAAACGTCATCACGCCAACATAAGACCGCTTTTAGTTTAGGGATGGTGATGCGGTGGAGTCTTGTCCATAAGAAACACGAGTTCATGAGCTTTAGAGGTTGATATTGGTTCACTGTAAGGCTTTTATCAGCCACTATGATAATGTAGAGGAGGGTGATAAGCAACAAGGCCCCTGTCTGGACTAACCCTAACCCAAACAATAACCCTAACCCAGGGAAAGTTACTGTGCATACTTCCTGGTGAGATGGAGGCCTTTGAGTGGAAGAACATCTTTTGTCGAGCAAACAGGAAGCAGAGGCAACATTAAGGTATCTTTCTATCAGCCATTGTTGCGTCTTCTCTTTCCAATTTGCCAACAAAAACTATTCTATGTCCTCCTGGTGTTTGCCTCGTAAGAAAATTGAAAAACGATCATAATAACCGGTAAAGGAAAAGGAACCCTGTGTGTTCAACAGGCAGAGAAACACCTCTTAAACCTCAGTGAGTTCTCTGCCTCCTGCTAGCCGTGAGAAAGCTCTCAGTCACCTCGGGGGAATGTGTGTTCGAGATAAGGACCCAGGAACGATTAAATAAAATCCCGGAGAAAAGGCCTGTGCTTTCAAAGCTACTGTAACAGCTGGGCTAATCAAAGCAATTTCCCTTCCCTCCCCAAAAAGTCCCCGACAAAGCCGATCCCCCTGGCCCGGAGTTTCTGGCAAAACCCTCGCCATCCACCCTGGGAATTCTCCTCGGTACAAAAAGTGCCATTCTGAGAGCGGCCATTTAGCTAAAAGGCTTCATTTCAAAAAGGTGGTAAGCATGCTATAATGGAAGCAAATAAAGCTGCAAGGTGATCTCAAGTCAGCTTTCCAAATATCAAATCCAGCATTCTTCTGTAATGGACGGCAAATTAGCAGCGAGAGCAACAGGGTTCAGATTGGTTATCTAGCCAAGATCTTAGCTGACTTTTCTTTAGGTGTTTCTCTAATTTCTCCCGTTGAAAGATGACCTGCTTAAAAAGTTAAAATGTCGATTTACTCTCTTCCCTCCCACAGTGGCGCTGGATTTCCACGGTTCCCCTCTACTTATTCTACTGGATGCTCTCACATTTCTTCTTTCTCCATCTAGACCTCTCTTTTCAGTCTTTGCTCGCCACTAATCCTTCCTGTCTAGCCATCATGTTCCTTCCTTCATATTCCTGTTTTACTGAACCCCTTACATAAATAATATCCTGCTTTAATTTGTGTCTAAAGCCCTTCAATAGTGCTTTATTATCAGAGTAGTATCAGAGTTTTTTATTTTCACGGTCTACTACTGTATATTTTCTACTTTTTAATAGTCGTTTTAATTCTGTTTTCAGATGTTTAAATTCTAGTATTGTTTGTTATATATTATATAGTTCTACATAGTTGTATTTCCACATGTATATTTTTCCACATCCACATATATATATATTTCTTTCAACTTTTAATGCTATTTCAGAAATATTTTGGACTGTTTATTTCTAGTGTCTTAATTTATCTTATGTAGATTGCCTTGTTCTATCTACCTACCTAGTACCTACCAGTCAGTCAGTCAGTCAGTCCATCCATCCATCCATCCATCCATCTATCCATCTATCTATCCATCGATCTATCCATCGATCCATCCATCCATCCATCATCCATCAATCTATCCATCTATCCATCCATCTATCCATCTATCCATCTATCCATCCATCTATCTATTGCTATCAAATCCCTATCCGGCCATCTATCATCTATCCATGTAGCCATCTATCCATCTATCCATCTATCCATCTATCCATCGATCCATCTATCTATCCATCGATCTATCCATCTATCCATCCATCTATCTATCTATCCATCCATCCATCTATCCATCTATCCATCTATCCATCCATCTATCTACCTATCCATCTATCTATCTATCCATCCATCCATCTATCCATCTATCCATCTATCTATCCATCTATCCATCTATCTACCTATCCATCTATCCATCTATCCATCTATCTATCTATCTATCGATCTATCCATCGATCTATCCATCAATCTATCCATCGATCTATCCATCTATCTATCCATCTATCCATCTATCCATCTATCCATCTATCTATCCATCTATCCATCTATCTATCCATCTATCCATCTATCTACCTATCCATCTATCTATCTATCTTGTTTTGGTTTTTTTATGCTGCTGCAACGCACACATTTCCCAATTTGGCATCACTAAAGTAGCTCTTATCTTATCTTATCTCTTTACCCTCAATCTTCATATCGTCCAGTTTATTGAGGTATATCAGTCGGTATCAAACTGCTTTGAGTTGCGTTTATAGTTACTCAAAGTCAGATGTGTTTACCCTCCGATAGGAAAGGGGATAGCGGTGAGTTCCCTGCTTACAGAGCGTGTCCGACACCCAGCTGCATTCTGGGTGATCCCTAACTTTAGACCGACACAGAGATCCTGGATCCGAACCACCGTTTATGGGAAAAGTGGAACTGAACAACGGGATTCGGTCCAAAAGGTCTTTAGGTAGTTTTGGCCAAGTATGATGGCTAGTATAGTATGTTCTAAATACCAAAATACATCCTGAAACTTCACGTGCAAAATGAATAAGATTGATCAGAAGAATCAGAATCAAGTTTATTTCCAGGTGCGTTTACACATACAAGGAATTTGATTTGGTAAAAAATATAAGGATAATAAAAAAAGGATGAGAAGTTGTTTCTTAAAAATCCTTATTTTTTATTATCCTTATATATTTCTTTTTATTGACCTACTTTACAACTTATTTATTTCAAATTCCTTGTATGACAACACAATAAAATGTCTTTAGCTGTCTTTAAAAAGGGATTAAGGCCGCAGTTGTTAACCTAATTTATTATACAGCTTAGTTGAATACTCGATTGTGATTGGTCGATTCCAGAAGTGGTTAATTCTCGCTAACAGACCGTTGCTAAGGAAGATGAAGCGACTACAACAAACATTAGTTTTCTCCGTCAGAAAATAAACGGGGAATACTTTCTTAAATATGAATTCAAAACGTCAGAAAAATCAACAGAAGAAGACAGACAGGAAGTAAACACTAACAGGAACAGGGATGGCTTTGGACTTTTAAACAAGTCACTCTGAAGTCCATTTAATTCATAATATTATTTACCCTTTGTTACGTATCTGTATCAATTAGATTCAAACCAATGCAATGGGACCATTTAGTAGTTGGGATTAGATTAGTTTTAGGGTGTTTAGTTAGTAGTAGCTTGTTATTTCTTCTGTATAATACATGTTCTGTTACTTTTAGTTTACTTTCTGGGTCCTATTCTCAAGCTTCAGATCAGGGAGTCCCATTTCACACATGTCCATTATGTCTTATAATTGTCCTTGTATTTGGGAATTTGGTAAAAGAGCACTTTCTCTTAACCGTAAATCAGTACGACGATTCCTAACCGAGAGATCCAGCGACGTCAGGACACAAATCAATCTCTCAATTGACAAAGTACGTAGGCGTATACATATATATATATTAGGGCTGTCAGTCGATTAAAATAGTTAATCGCGATTAATCGCAAATTAATCGCACATTTTTGATCTGTTCTAAATGTAGCTTAGAGGAATATTTTTCAAGTTTTTAATACTCTTATCAACATATGAGTGGAAAAATATGCTTTATGCTAATAAATATTCTCATGAATATTAAACACAACAACCTGTGTGTGTGTGTGTGTGTGTGTGTGTGTGTGTGTGTGTGTGTGTGTGTGTGTGTGTGTGTGTGTGTGTGTGTGTGTGTGTGTGTGTGTGTGTGATGGATCGTTGGAGCTATGTGGAACTCAAGGCCTATGCTCGAACCGGAGCTGCCTGGACGCTGCAATCATGTTGCGCACTATCCGTGCTGAGTGTGCTGACTTCTCGTACAATGTCCCACTGTCTGGCTTCCTGCATAAAGTCAAGTGCTCGGCGCAGTTGTGGCGAATGTCGCTCCTCTGTTTTCATTTAAATAGCTCCTTATATCCGTTAGCGCAGCTAGCTAGCACCAGATGCTAACAACAACAATGCACGTAAGGTCTCTCTCTCGCTCGCTCGGGCCACACATACACACACCCTCCCGGTCCTCCAGATGGCCAGTCGGTGCCTGCCGGTGAGCGTGGAAGTGTGGTCTGCAGCAAGCGGGCGGCAGGAGCGGGGCTGTCAGCATCAGCTTGTAGATGGTATTTTAAACTCGATGCGCTCTGAAACTACGGGGCGGCCGAGGACAAAAAATACACATGCGTTAATCGCGTTAAAATAATTAGTGGCGTTAATTTTTGTTTGCGTTAACGTGTTATTAACGCGTTAACTTGACAGCCCTAAAATATATATATATAAAAAAGAGGGAAACATCAACCTTCTGCTACCTTCTGTATCACTTTTCCAATCAGAGAATTCCTCGCACAAAGGCCTCATTGAGCAGCGAGAGACTGGGGGCTTTGTCTCCCAAAGGTTAGTTTCCCCCACTACACCTTCCTCCACATTCTGCCCAGGTCAAGTGGAATGCAGCCCATAAAGAGCACCAGCAATTATGGGCACTTTTAAATAACAAAAAACAAATATACTGCTACTTTTTTATACCAATATCGCCATATCTGCCATTTGTTTTTCTCACTTATTGAGTTATTTTATTATAAATAACGTGTGCATACTTAGTTATTTTTGTAAGTCTACTCTTCTCACTTTATATGCTGTTTCCAAATAAAGGTATTCTGATTCTGATTATATCACAATGTTTGAGGACAAAGGGCACAAGTGGTTGCCTTTAGTACAACTTTTAGGGCAAGGAACATTTCAAATGAACTTTCATGAACAGAAAACACACTTTAAAAAAGGTTGAAGCTACAAAATATAAAAGCCACCGGATTCAGTTGTATTTAAATATATCCAAGTTAAATAATTGTGTAATTTTTGTCCTTATTTCTGAACAAGTGTATTGTTTTACATTTGAGTGATTCATTAAAAAGTAAGGTTACGGTTAAAGGGGATGCAGTCCGTAAAGAGGACGAGGAATTATTAAAGTGCAGAGGAGGGCTTTCTAAATATTAAATCTTAATGTATTGAGGACAGAAAAGCACTATTGCTGTTGGTACGACTTAAAAACGGTTAACGGAAGTTAGGCAATCAGAAGTAAGTAATCATGTTATATTTATTTCATGTTTTGATACTCAGATTAGGTCACATTGTTTAGGTAACTAGTATTTGTAACAGATTACCAGAGGTTTAAGAAGTACTCACATCTTGTTCTTGAGTAAAAGTAGAAGTACTCAGATCTTGTTCTTGAGTAAAAGTAGAAGTACTCAGATCTTGTACTTGAGTAAAAAGTTAGAAGTACTCAGATCTTGTACTTGAAGTAAAAGTAGAAGTACTCAGATCTTGTACTTGAGTAAAAGTAGAAGTACTCAGATCTTGTCTTGAGTAAAAGTAGAAGTACTCAGATTGTACTTGAGTAAAAGTAGAAGTACTCAGATCTTCTTGAGAAAGTAGAAGTACTCAGATCTTGTCTTGAGTAAAAGTAGAAGTACTCAGATCTTGTACTTGAGTAAAAGTAGAAGTACTCAGATCTTGTACTTGAGTAAAAGTAGAAGAGAAGTACTCAGATCTTGTACTTGAGTAAAAGTAGAAGTACTCAGATCTTGTACTTGAGTAAAAGTAGAAGTACTCAGATCTTGTACTTGAGTAAAAGTAGAAGTACTCAGATTGTACTTGAGTAAAAGTAGAAGTACTCAGATCTTGTACTTGAGTAAAAGTAGAAGTACTCAGATCTTGTACTTGAGTAAAAGTAGAAGTACTCAGATCTTTACTTGATGTAAAAGTAGAAGTACTCAGATCTTGTACTTGAGTAAAAGTAGAAGTACTCAGATCTTGTACTTGAGTAAAAGTAGAAGTACTCAGATCTTGTACTTGAGTAAAAGTAGAAGTACTCAGATCTTACTTGAGTAAAAGTAGAAGTACTCAGATCTTGTACTTGAGTAAAAGTAGAAGTACTCAGATCTTGTACTTGAGTAAAAGTAGAAGTACTCAGATCTTGTACTTGAGTAAAAGTAGAAGTACTCAGATCTTGTACTTGAGTAAAAGTAGAAGTACTCAGATCTTGTACTTGAGTAAAAGTAGAAGTACTCAGATCTTGTACTTGAGTAAAAGTAGAAGTACTCAGATCTTGTACTTGAGTAAAAGTAGAAGTACTCAGATCTTGTACTTGAGTAAAAGTAGAAGTACTCAGATCTTGTACTTGAGTAAAAGTAGAAGTACTCAGATCTTGTACTTGAGTAAAAGTAGAAGTACTCAGATCTTGTACTTGAGTAAAAGTAGAAGTACTCAGATCTTGTACTTGAGTAAAAGTAGAAGTACTCAGATCTTGTACTTGAGTAAAAGTAGAAGTACTCAGATCTTGTACTTGAGTAAAAGTAGAAGTACTCAGATCTTGTACTTGAGTAAAAGTAGAAGTACTCAGATCTTGTACTTGAGTAAAAGTAGAAGTACTCAGATCTTGTACTTGAGTAAAAGTAGAAGTACTCAGATCTTGTACTTGAGTAAAAGTAGAAGTACTCAGATCTTGTACTTGAGTAAAAGTAGAAGTACTCAGATCTTGTACTTGAGTAAAAGTAGAAGTACTCAGATCTTGTACTTGAGTAAAAGTAGAAGTACTCAGATCTTGTACTTGAGTAAAAGTAGAAGTACTCAGATCTTGTACTTGAGTAAAAGTAGAAGTACTCAGATCTTGTACTTGAGTAAAAGTAGAAGTACTCAGATCTTGTACTTGAGTAAAAGTAGAAGTACTCAGATCTTGTACTTGAGTAAAAGTAGAAGTACTCAGATCTTGTACTTGAGTAAAAGTAGAAGTACTCAGATCTTGTACTTGAGTAAAAGTAGAAGTACTCAGATCTTGTACTTGAGTAAAAGTAGAAGTACTCAGATCTTGTACTTGAGTAAAAGTAGAAGTACTCAGATCTTGTACTTGAGTAAAAGTAGAAGTACTCAGATCTTGTACTTGAGTAAAAGTAGAAGTACTCAGATCTTGTACTTGAGTAAAAGTAGAAGTACTCAGATCTTGTACTTGAGTAAAAGTAGAAGTACTCAGATCTTGTACTTGAGTAAAAGTAGAAGTACTCAGATCTTGTACTTGAGTAAAAGTAGAAGTACTCAGATCTTGTTCTTGAGTAAAAGTAGAAGTACTCAGATCTTGTACTTGAGTAAAAGTAGAAGTACTCAGATCTAGAAGTACCAGAGTGTAGGAATACTCTGTCACAGTAAAAGTCCTGCATTTAAAATGTTCCTCAAGTGAAAGTAGAAAAGTATTCTCATCAAAATATAGTGAAAGTAGCGACAGTGAAAGTAGTCGTTGTGCAGATTGGTCCATTTCAGAATAATATATATGATATGTTTTATAATGATTGATCATGAAAGTGTTCTCAAAGCTGGTGAAGGTGCAGCTAGTTTGAATGACTTGGTATACTGCAGGGTAGCTGGTGGATTTACTCCAGGTGGAACTAAAGATTTAACACTTGATTAGATTTCACATCATTCATCCACATCTGTGAAGTAACTAAAGGTATTACATACATGTAGTGGAGTAGAAGAACAAAGTATCAAAAACAAGTATCTCAAAATGGTCCTTAAGTACAGTACTTGAGTAAATGTACTTAGTTACTTTACACCACAGCATATTACATGTTTAAAGTGACCCTCCAAACCCTGTGTTTACCTTTCAGGAAGTTCCTGTTTTGGGCAGTCCTGGTAATGCCGGATGAAGAACCGCTCGGCATCTTCTCTGTCTCCGTGAGACACCGTGCTGCCGTTCAGCAACACCACAGAGGGCAGCCTGAAGACAGGGACATTCAAAAGTATAGAGATTAGATTCATGACAATTTAAATGTAATATGTGTGTGTGTAGGTTCAGACTCACTGTGCTAAAAGGAGGCTACATCTCTCCTGGTCGGTGTAAGTCTTCAGGAGAGGAATCCCCTTCACTTTCACTTCCTTCAGCTTCGGGAAGAAATTCAGCCTCTCAATGTCCGTCCATTTGCTGAGTCCTGAATAACAAAACATCAGAGTTTTATTTAGGTCACACCATGTCTCTACTTTAATGTTCCAAAAGCTCTTTATTTTTCACAAAACTATGACGTTAAAGGGACTTATGTTCAGGTGTATATCAGTATGTTGTGTCTCTACTTTAAAGAGTCCTCTCCTGCTGATGTTCAGGTGTATATCAGTATGTAGTGTATCTACTTTAAAGAGTCCTCTCCTGCTGATGTTCAGGTGTATATCAGTATGTAGTGTCTCTACTTTAAAGAGTCCTCTCCTGCTGATGTTCAGGTGTATATCAGTATGTAGTGTCTCTACTTTAAAGAGTCCTCTCCTGCTGATGTTCAGGTGGATATCAGTATGTAGTGTCTCTACTTTAAAGAGTCCTCTCCTGCTGATGTTCAGGTGTATATCAGTATGTAGTGTCTCTACTTTAAAGAGTCCTCTTCCTGTTGTTGTTCAGGTGTATATCAGTATGTAGTGTCTCTACTTTAAAGAGTTCCTCTCTGCTGATTGTTCAGGTGTATATCAGTATGTAGTGTCTCTACTTTAAAGAGTCCTTCCTGCTGATGTTCAGGTGTATATCAGTATGTAGTGTCTCTACTTTAAAGAGTCCTCTCCTGCTGATGTTCAGGTGTATATCAGTATGTAGTGTCTCTACTTTAAAGAGTCCTCTCCTGCTGATGTTCAGGTGTATCAGTATGTAGTGTCTCTACTTTAAAGAGTCCTCTCCTGCTGATGTTCAGGTGTATATCAGTATGCAGTGTCTCTACTTTAAAGAGTCTCTCCTGCTGATGTTCAGGTGTATATCAGTAGTAGTATCTCTACTTTAAAGAGTCCTCTCCTGCTGATGTTCAGGTGTATATCAGTATGCAGTGTCTCTACTTTAAAGAGTAATCTCCTGCTGATGTTCAGGTGTATATCAGTATGCAGTGTCTCTACTTTAAAGAGTCCTCTCCTGCTGATGTTCAGGTGTATATCAGTATGTAGTGTCTCTACTTTAAAGAGTCCTCTCCTGCTGATGTTCAGGTGTATATCAGTATGTAGTGTCTCTACTTTAAAGAGTCCTCTCCTGCTGATGTTCAGGTGTATATCAGTATGTAGTGTCTCTACTTTAAAGAGTTCCTCTCCTGCTGATGTTCAGGTGTATTATCAGTATGTAGTGGTCTCTACTTTAAAGAGTCCTCTCCTGCTGATGTTCAGGTGTATATCAGTATGTAGTGTCTCTACTTTAAAGAGTCCTCTCCTGCTGATGTTCAGGTGTATATCAGTATGTAGTGTCTCTACTTTAAGAGTCCTCTCCTGCTGATGTTTCAGGTGTATATCAGTATGTAGTGTCTCTACTTTAAAGAGTCCTCTCCTGCTGATGTTCAGGTGTATATCAGTATGTAGTGTCTCTACTTTAAGAGTCCTCTCCTGCTGATGTTCAGGTGTATATCAGTATGTAGTGTCTCTACTTTAAAGAGTCCTCTCCTGCTGATGTTCAGGTGTATATCAGTATGTAGTGTCTCTACTTTAAAGAGTCCTCTCCTGCTGATGTTCAGGTGTATATCAGTATGTAGTGTCTCTACTTTAAAGAGTCCTCTCCTGCTGATGTTCAGGTTGTATATCAGTATGTAGTGTCTCTACTTTAAAGAGTCCTCTCCTGCTGATGTTCAGGTGTATATCAGTATGTAGTGTCTCTACTTTAAAGAGTCCTCTCCTGCTGATGTTCAGGTGTATATCAGTATGTAGTGTCTCTACTTTAAAGAGTCCTCTCCTGCTGATGTTCAGGTGTATATCAGTATGTAGTGTCTCTACTTTAAAGAGTCCTCTCCTGCTGATGTTCAGGTGTATATCAGTATGTAGTGTCTCTACTTTAAAGAGTCCTCTCCTGCTGATGTTCAGGTGTATATCAGTATGTAGTGTCTCTACTTTAAAGAGTCCTCTCCTGCTGATGTTCAGGTGTATATCAGTATGTAGTGTCTCTACTTTAAAGAGTCCTCTCCTGCTGATGTTCAGGTGTATATCAGTATGTAGTGTCTCTACTTTAAAGAGTCCTCTCCTGCTGATGTTCAGGTGTATATCAGTATGTAGTGTCTCTACTTAAAGAGTCCTCACCTGATGATGTTCAGGTGTATATCAGTATGTAGTGTCTCTACTTTAAAGAGTCCTTCTCCCGCTGATGTTCAGGTGTATATCAGTATGTAGTGTCTCTACTTTAAAGAGTCCTCTCCTGCTGATGTTCAGGTGTATATCAGTATGTAGTGTCTCTACTTTAAAGAGTCCTCTCCTGCTGATGTTCAGGTGTATATCAGTATGTAGTGTCTCTACTTTAAAGAGTCCTCTCCTGCTGATGTTCAGGTGTATATCAGTATGTAGTGTCTCTACTTTAAAGAGTCCTCTCCTGATGATGTTCAGGTGTATATCAGTATGCAGTGTCTCTACTTTAAAGAGTCCTCTCCTGCTGATGTTCAGGTGTATATCAGTCTGTAGTGTCTCTACTTTAAAGAGTCCTCTCCCTGATGTTCAGGTGTATATCAGTATGTAGTGTCTCTACTTAAAGAGTCTCTCCTGCTGATGTTCAGGTGTATATCAGTATGTAGTGTCTCTACTTTAAAGAGTCCTCTCCTGCTGATGTTCAGGTGTATATCAGTATGTAGTGTCTCTACTTTAAAGAGTCCTCTCCTGCTGATGTTCAGGTGTATATCAGTAGTGGTAGTGTATCTTACTTTAAAGAGTCCTCTCCTGCTGATGTTCAAGGTTGTATATCAGTGTGTAGTGTCTCTACTTTAAAGAGTCCTCTCCTGCTGATGTTCAGGTGTATATCAGTATTCGTGGTCTCTACTTTAAAGAGTCCTCTCCTGCTGATGTTCAGGTGTATATCAGTATGTAGTGTCTCTACTTTAAAGAGTCCTCTCCTGCTGATGTTTCAGGTGTATATCAGTATGTAGTGTCTCTACTTTAAAGAGTCCTCTCCTGCTGATGTTCAGGTGTATATCAGTATGTAGTGTCTCTACTTTAAAGAGTCCTCTCCTGCTGATGTTCAGGTGTATATCAGTATGTAGTGTCTCTACTTTAAAGAGTCCTCTCCTGCTGATGTTCAGGTGTATATCAGTATGTAGTGTCTCTACTTTAAAGAGTCCTCTCCTGCTGATGTTCAGGTGTATATCAGTATGTAGTGTCTCTACTTTAAAGAGTCCTCTCCTGCTGATGTTCAGGTGTATATCAGTATGTAGTGCCTACTTAAGTCAGTCCTCTCCTGCTGATGTTCAGCTGTATATCAGTATGTAGTGTCTCTACTTTAAAGAGCTCTCCTGCTGATGTTCAGGTGTATATCAGTGTGTAGTGTCTCTACTTTAAAGAGTCCTCTCCTGCTGATGTTCAGGTGATATCAGTGTGTAGTGTCTCTACTTTAAAGAGTCCTCTCCTGCTGATGTTCAGGTGTATATCAGTATGTAGTGTCTTCTTTAAAGAGTCCTCTCCTGCTGATGTTCAGGTGTATATCAGTATGTAGTGTCTCTATTTTAAAGAGTCCTCTCCTGCTGTTGTTCAGTGTATATCAGTATGTAGTGTCTCTACTTTAAAGAGTCCTCTCCTGCTGATGTTCAGGTGTATATCAGTGTGTAGTGTCTCTACTTTAAAGAGTCCTCTCCTGCTGATGTTCAGGTGTGTATCAGTATGTAGTGTCTCTACTTTAAAGAGTCCTCTCCTGCTGATGTTCAGGTGTATATCAGTATGTAGTGTCTCTACTTTAAAGAGTCCTCTCCTGCTGATGTTCAGGTGTGTATCAGTATGTAGTGTCTCTACTTTAAAGAGTCCTCTCCTGCTGATGTTCAGGTGTGTATCAGTATGTAGTGTCTCTACTTTAAAGAGTCCTCTCCTGCTGATGTTCAGGTGTATATCAGTATGTAGTGTCTCTACTTTAAAGAGTCCTCTCCTGCTGATGTTCAGGTGTATATCAGTATGTAGTGTCTCTACTTTAAAGAGTCCTCTCCTGCTGATGTTCAGGTGTATATCAGTGTGTAGTGTCTCTTCTTTAGACCTGAGTTGTTGAGGTTGATGCTCCTCAGATTGGGGAAAAGGCGCTGCAGAGTTTCTGGAGAGTCGCCCACACAGTCCACGCTGTTGTTGGCCAGAACCAGCGTGTTCAGACTCGGGTAAATCTGCCCAAACTTCCTGACTTCCTTCCACTCCTGCAGCTGGTTGTCTGTGATCTGCAGCAGGCGCAGAGACGGACAGGACGTCTGCGACTCGGACACGGTGTTGAAGCCGTTCAGACACAAGAAAAGCTCCTCCAGCCTGAAGGAGGAGGGAATACGTTAGAGTTATGTACAATAAAACCTTATTTAATTTCATTTACTCCTTTCAGAATCGAGTTATCGGCGAATTGGGTTTAGGTTCGACTCATGTAATGAAATAAAAGGTAACATTTAATACGATTATTTAGATAAACACAAGTTAAAGCTTTTGCAAAAACAATTATATTGACTAATATACAAAGGTACAATGAAACCTTACTTTCCAGCCATATCTGCATTTAAGTTATTCCCTCCTTTCATTACAATATGAATGAAATTGAGATATTTATACAACTATACTGTAAGAGGTTGAATATATGTCCATTAAAAGACAAAATAACTTATAATAGAATAAGTAAATAAATATAACAGGTTAAAGCAAGAATGTGCAATTAAAATGTAAAATAAAATAAAGATATGTATATAAACATAAGAGGCTAAACAAAATATCCAATAAAAGATTAAATAATATTATTTATTAACTATAGAGCCATTTCATCAACAAAAAACAACTCAAAGACGCTTTGACAGAGAAAAACACAAAAACGAAGAAAATACAGAGACAAACAAAACGTCACTTACTCAGGTGTGTGTTTGGTGAGTGTGTGTACGGTGTCCCAGCTGATGTGTGTGTTGATGAGGACGAGCTGTCGGACTCTGGAGAACACCTCGGCCATGCAGGGCTCCAGCTGAACGCCCATCAGAGGGTTCATGCTCAGGTTCAGGAAGTCCAGGTGGGGGATGTTGGAAACGATGGCGCAGATCTGGCAACCCACAAGTAAATAACAAAACCTCAGAGCAGTGTTTCTCTATCGGTTTCATACCAAGGACCACCTCACTCCCCAAATATCCAGGAACAAAAAGGCCTGCTCACCACTCCAACAGTTTATGACAAATTACAGCCGAATAATGACAGCTTAACGTGACCTACATTGAATCAACAATACAAACACAACTACGGATTCCACAAGCATTTCGTTCGTATGCGATTTTAAATGCTAACAGGTTTTACACCTCTTATGAAATGTAGACTACATTTGTTACAAGGCTAGATGCAGGAATCCTGAAGTCAAATGTAAAACCTTTCAAGACCTTTTTTCAGACCCTTTCCATACATTTTAAGACCTCATCGCCAGTTAAGCGAGTTTTAACCGGTTACATTGAAAACATATTTTTTTAATTTAATTTGTTTAAAGTCAGCCTATCATCCATCCTTACTATGGCATTTGCCACTTGATTGACGTACAGGTAAGCCAGTCTGAGTTGTATTGTGCCATACGGGTTCATGCAGTTATGAGGGGGCCTCACCTCCTCATCTGAAGCTCATCTGAAGCGCAAATGCGGCGCAATTAGTGTAAGCTCGCCACAGTTTACCCACCGTTTAGTCCACTAGCACCCCCCCCCCCCCAAGCTGAAAAAGTGTGGGCACCCCTAATATACAGTATTGATTGGCCTTCCTCCTTATCTTCCAACCATTTGGACGCAGACTTGCATTTCCCCATAACGATGTTGTTTAACAACCGGCGTAAACGGACCTTCGCGCGCTATCAAGCAGTGAGCGTGCGATGTCCTGTTCAGATGACGTCAAACCCAACGGGACGCCATAAGTAAACTACACAGAATCACACGACACACCTACGCAATGATTACATTCAGGCAGACTGTAGAATACAACCTCTTTGGACCATTTATATACTTATTGAAAACAAGCTACAACATTTAATACCTTGGAAAATGCCTTTTAATACTTTTTAATAGCCTTCATTTTCGCTAAATTTATTTATCAACTTGTAATACTTTTTAAGACCCCGCGGATCCCCTGACTACGGAGTTAATGTCCGAGCCAACAGACTCACAGATCGTTTTCTACTGAGAGATATTCAAAAGCACCGCATGTAGTACGACACAAACCTCCGCTGTGGATTTTCAAAACTAAATACAGTAAAACTATGGTTAGTTCAACATCATTTCAATAAGTTCATTATTTACACTGGTCCATTTATTTAGCATTGTTTACGCACTCGTTGACTCTACTCTGTTGCCACCCATACTAGCCATTTTTAAACAATTTGAGAAACACTTTGAATTTATCATTTATTTATTTAAAATGTTACCAATATACTCACGGACCAAACACTGAATTAAAAGAACGTATCGTACGATTGTTCGTTATACATCGCCCCTACCTCTTCCCAGTCTTTGAGCTGATTTTGGGACAGGTCCAGCTCGGCCACGTGAACACAGAACGCTGCGATGTCGGACCGATCTCCAGCTTTATTGATCCCAGAGCCGCTCAGAACGAGAGAACAGGGCAGGTAGAGGCGGTCTGCAAAACAAAAAGTGAGGTTTTACGACATTCAGAGGCTTCAAACACTTCATCCTCTCCGATGTATAGCTATTTATTAAACAGCTTAGTTGAATACTCGATTCTGATTGGTCAATATGGACATTCTAGAGGTCTGCTATTTAAAAAAGAATGAAAAAACAGGAAGCAAACACTAAAGGGAACAGCAGAAGAAGACAGACAGGAAGTAAACACTAAAGGGAACAGCAGAAGAAGAAGAAGACAGACAGGAAATAAACACTAAAGGGAACACCAGAAGAAGACAGACAGGAAGTAAACACTAACGGGAACAGCAGAAGAAGACAGACAGGAAGTAAACACTAAAGGGAACAGAAGAAGACAGACAGGAAGTAAACATTAAAGGGAACAGCAGAAGAAGATAGACAGGAAGTAAACACTAAAGGGAACAGCAGAAGAAGACAGACAGGAAGTAAACACTAAAGGGAACATCAGAAGAAGACAGACAGGAAGTAAACACTAAAGGGAACAGCAGAAGAAGATAGACAGGAAGTAAACACTAAAGGGAACAGCAGAAGAAGACAGACAGGAAGTAAACACTAAAGGGAACAGCAGAAGAAGACAGACAGGAAGTAAACACTAAAGGGAACAGCAGAAGAAGACAGACAGGAAGTAAACACTAAAGGGAACAGCAGAAGAAGGCAGACAGGAAGTAAACACAAAAGGGAACAGCAGAAGAAGACAGACAGGAAGTAAACACTAAAGGGAACAGCCGAAGAAGACCTATTTTCCTTCTCTCCCTTGATCCTCCTTAGCAACAGTGTGTTATGCTTAGCAACAGTGTGTTATCGAGTGTTAAAAACCTCTGAATTGTCGCAATTGACCAATCAGAATCGAGTATTCAACCAAGCCGTGTAACATGACTCTCTGCCTGTTTTCACACCTTTGACGGGGGACCCCGGCAGGCTGGGCATCACCATGACTCCCTGGCCGTAGGGGAAGTTCTCCGGGCTGTATTTCTCGCTGAGGACTTGGACGAAGGTGCGGCTCTCCTCTTCATCAGAGGACGTCTCCATGGTGTCCATGGTCCAGGCCCTGAGAACAGAGAAACAACTGGGTCAGTTCCCTTCATCTCTCTGGTGTTTATTGATGTGGAATTATACAGAAAAGCCCAAAAATGTTACCCATTTCTACACACATTTATTTCTGATTCTGTTCATAAGGCCCTCTGTTTGAATTCATTTCATGAACACTGTGATGATGAAAAAGCGTAAATTTGAGAAAGCTCACTGTGTATTTTTATAACTTTGGATTCGTCTACTGCGAGTGGTCACAGTTACAGTTAAAGAATGGTCTTGGGAAAGCTCCTGGTATTAAATACTGTGTACTGTTTTATTCTCATAAAAAGACCAAGATGAGACTAATTTCTCTTCCTCCTCTGACTGTGGGACTCACCACCCAAGTGATCGTATCAATGATGTTTATGGAGTATTTCAAAACCAGTCACATATGTACAGTATTGTAATGTTTAGCAAATTATGGCCAGTGAGGAGAAATTGTATTTTTCCTGAACGCTAGCATCCTTTTTCAATAGTTTCCAACAATTAACCGTTTTCAATTTGTTTCCCGGTTGCTTTGAGCGATTTTAGTTCAAATTCTCGCTGGTGACGTCACTTTTCAGGCACACATTAAAACATATAATATTCATTAAATACTTCCTGTTTCTCAGGATAAATGTAGTCCCACACACACACACACACACACACACACACACACACACACACACACACACACACACACACACACACACACACACCACACACACCACACACACACACACACACACACACACACACACACACACACACACACACACACACACACACACACACACACACACACACACACACACACACACACACACACACACACACACACACACACCACACACACACACCACACACACACACACACACACACACCACACACACACACACACACACACAGTGAGAAACGTGAGAGTGTGACAGCACTGACAGCAGCAGGTGTACAGGGACACAAACACACCAGTTCGTGCTCAAAGTCATTCTGTGTCGCCGACCAATCGATTAGTCGAAACAATTGGTTGTAATGTTGACAAATGAATGTCGTTGATAGAGGGGGAAATAGGCCCAAATGTAGCTTCTCATATAAATACACAGGAAGTAAAAACAGTATATGACTTGTTAAATTGGAGGGCTGTAGTGTTGAATAGAAATAAGGAAAGGCTCACAGTATTGAACAGATTAAGATATTGCTGTATTCAATGTGGCATACATATTTGGTAATGTCAGTTTTAAGTTGTTTTATCATGAAGCTTAAGAGTAGGTAAGAGTACGCAGTCATTTTTCCTGACTTAATGCACGTTGCACAAATAAATAAGTAAAAAAAGACAATTGTATTTGGTTTGCTTAGTGTGTCAGCATGATTCGTCCCCATTTGAATACAACTTGGTGTCAGGGTGTAGCTTTGGCCAAGGACGCCTTTTACATCTGAATTATGGTGCAAATACCTGTGTTATCATTCACTTTTGGACAAGGCCTTGACTGCTGATGATTTCTAGTGAATTAAAACGACATCATTCCTAACGATATAACCTCGGCCCCGGTCTCACCCCGATCAGCCCTATCAGGTTCTGATCATCTTAAACTGTGTGCGGTGTTTCTGTCAGGGTTCGTTTCTGATTCCACAGATTGCTACGACTCATACCTCTGATGGAGCAGAGACCAAAGGGAAGCTTGTCTTCAGCGTCACCTCCGATCACATCGTCTCCACGGCCGCTGAGAGAACTGTGGAACAAGAGGAGAAGAACACGAGTTCAACTGGGTTTGGGAACCAGAGGGAAGTACAGAAACTGTCTTTGAGGTAAAAAGACAGAAAGATCATATTTGGAACAACATTTATTTTTAATTGGGACGAACTCTTCTTCGGTTTTCTGCACTCAACATCCAGAAATATGAAAACAAAATACTTATTAGGGATGTTGAGCGTAGCTGCGAGGAAAGCAATCACAAAGAAATGGCTCAAACCAAACAGAGGATTGGTACGGTATCATTTATGAAATCTTTGTAATGGAAAGAATAACCTTCTCTTTGAGGCTCCAGGAACTTAAAGGGGACCTATCATTCAAAAGTCACTTTCTGATGTCTTCTCTCCATCAACATGTGTCCCCGGTGTGTCTGGGAACTCACGCAGCGTCAGGAAATAAAACCCTCTCTCTTTTCCTCCGTACCCAAATCTCTAAAAACGGGGAACAACGGAGCTGATCCAGATTTGCGTCCGATATGACGTAATATATGAAATATGGACCCACGGCCCAATCAGAAACGTTGCTTTCAGAAAACAATTGATAATCCATGATATGGCGTTTCATCACGGCAGCATTTAGTTTAGACAGTAGCTGCCGGGTCCCGCATGAGCTCAGACCCCTCCTCTTTAAAGCTTTATACCCAAATCAGCACTTTTGAAACAGGAAGTGAAATAGAGGGATATGAGGCAAGGCTAGGCAAGTTTATATAGCACTTTTCAACACACGGCAATTCAAAGTGCTTTACAAAAAACGAAAGACATTAAGAAAATGGCATTTAAAATCAGTCATTAAAAAGAAAAGCTAATAAAAGAAACATTAAAAGAAAAAGTACATGGATAAAAGTTACAGTGCAGTCTAAGATATGAATAGTTCAATTAAAAGCAGCGACAAAAAGAAAAGCCTTCAGCCTGGATTTAAAAGTAGTCAGAGTTGCAGCGGACCTGCAGGTTTCTGGGAGTTTGTTCCAGATATTTGGAGCATAATAACTGAACGCTGCTTCTCCATGTTTAGTTCTGACTCTGGGGACAGAAAGCTGACCAGTCCCTGAAGACCTGAGAGATCTGGATGGTTCATCATTTAGCAGGAGGTCAGAAATGTATTTTGGGCCTAAACCATTCAGTGCTTTATAAACCAGCAGCAGTATTTAGAAATCTATTCTTTGACACACAGGAAGCCAGTGTAAAGACTTCAGAACAGGAGTGATCCACTTTCTTAGTGTTAGTGAGGACTCGAGCAGCGGCGTTCTGAATCAGCTGCAGCTTCCTAATAGATCTTTTAGTGAGACCTGTGAAGACACCATTGCAGTAGTCGAGTCTACTGAAGATAAAAGCATGGACAAGTTTTTCCAAATCCTGCTGTGACATTAGTCTTTTAATCCTAGATATATTCTTTAGGTGATAGTAGGCTGATTTAGTAACAGTTTTAAAGTGACTGTTGAAACTCAGGTCAGAGTCCATGACTACACCTAGATTTCTGGCTTTATCTGTTGTTTTGAACATTGCAGACTGAAGCTCAGCGCTAACTTTTATACGTTCTGACTTGGCTCCAAAAACCATTACCTCAGTTTTATCTTTGTTTAATTGGAGAAAGTTCTGACACATCCAGTCATTGATTTGTTCAATGCACTTACTCAGTGTTTCAATTGGAGCATAGTCTCCTGGTGAAATTGTTACGTAAATTGAAACAGGAAGTGAAATAGAGGGATATGAGGCATGGCTAGAATGATCTGTTTGGTGTTTGGAGCAAAACACTTCATAGACATGTGTTTTATATATTTGTATATATCTGAGACCTGTGCTATTGCCTAAAAGCAGCATGATAGGTGAACTTTACATTTCAGGACATTTGGGAGAAATGGAAAGTGTATATTACCCCGATACGCCCTTCTTTTGTTTAACTGTTTTTTATTTAATGATCTATACTGTCAATGTTTAATATTGAAAATAAACACCCCATGTTCTTGGGTGTTTATTGTTGTTTTGTTAAGAAAAAGAAAAAACACGGACCACTCTGTAAAACTATTTAACTACATATGTACACTGAAGTTGAAATGTGATAAAAATGTTTTTAAAAAAGTAAATAAAAAAAGAAAAGACACAGAACGACAGACGAGTGAAACTTGCACAACAGGTAATGTGAAAGCCAGAGGTTTAAGAAGTACTCAGATATTTCACTCATTTGTGAAAAGCAGCAATACTACTTTGCTTCCTAGATAATATTATTATTACTACTGGCTTCTACTTTTTAGGTATTCAATTCCAACAGGAATCTGTATGTTATTATGTCAATATATTTAAAAAAGTATCTGTATTTTCACTTAATTCTGAAATGTTACACTTATTTTATCTTATAAATACTGCTTTCTTACTTAATTTCCCAGTATGTGTACTTCTGTAAATGTTTTATTTTATTTTAAATACTATGTGCACACCTTTTTATCTCATAGTGTGTGATTTGTATTTGTAGTCTCTATCTATACTTTGCTGTAACAATGTAAACTTCCCCTCGATGGGACCGATGAAGGATTCTGGTGCTCTGGACTGGCATCAAAATATACTTTAAGTACAAAAAGTAGTCATTTTCCGGTATGGTATCAGATTTAAACATATAAAATGTTGTGTTATAATTATTAATCCATTCATGGGATTCTTCAAATGACTTGATATACTGCTGAGTATCTTAGCATATAATAAATAATACATTATGATTTAAATTCTGTGTTATAAATCCATACCTGGAAAGTAGCTTGTAAATTATGGTATAAAGTAGCATAACATGAAAATACTCAAGTGAAGTACAAGTACCTCAAAATGGTACTTAAGTATAGTAGGCTAACCTGGGTAACTACATATGTCTGCTCACCAGCTACACGTCTGAGTGTTTTCTTCAAATCGTCATATTTACCAAGTTTGGTTTCATAACAAAAGTCCAACTTTAAAAATACGCTTGCTACTGCCCCCGTGGTGCGACTGACTGGTAACAATGCTGAACCAAATACAAGAACTACAGTTATACATAAAGTTAAGACTCGTCTTATATTGTTGTTTTAATGCCGAGTTAAACGGGAAGTCAGAAGGATTTAAGAAAAGTCAGAATTATAACTGTACGTGTTATATTCAGTTGCTAGAGGCCAATACAACGTTAAATTAAGAGGTTTTTAATCGGAGTTCGGCAAGGCATTATGCGAAGAAATATAGATTTACATAAAGTAACAACTCGCGTTTTAATGTTGTTTTAATGCCGAATTAAACGTTGAGTCATGACGATTCGGGAAAAGTTATAATTATTATTGTATTACTTATATACGCTTAGTAGCATCCAATACAACGTTACATTTAGATGATATTTTAACGCTGGGTAACTGGCAATAATGCTGAACTAAATAAGATAATTAGTTGTACATAAAGAAACGATCGCTTCTTATTGTTATTTTAATGCCGAATTGAAGGGCGAACCATGACGATTCAGGAAACGTAAAAAATAATAACTGTACATGTTATATTTGCTTGCAATGAGCAAATACAACGTTACATTTTGAGTTTTGTTCACGCTGTTAATGGCAACAATGCTGAACCAAATAACAGTTTTCATAAAGAAAGGACTTGCGTTTTATTACTATTTGAATGCCGAATTAAACTGCAAGCCATGACGATTCGAACAAAGTCAAAAGTATAACTGTAAGTGTTTTATCCACTTGCTAGTAGCTAATACAATGTTAGATTAAGAGGACGTTTTGTAACTGGCGACAATGCACAACCAAATGCAAGAATAACAGTTTTACACAAAGCAACGACTATAATTTACTTGTTGTTTTAATGCCGAATTATACTGCAAATCATCCCGATTTAAGAAAAGTCGAAATGAGAACTGTACGTGTTATATGCACTTGCTAAGAGCGAATACAATGTTACATTAAGAGGTTTTTCAACGGAGTTTTGCAATGCATTCTGCGAGCAAGGTAAGTAGTGCAGATTTGGGGGGGTGGGCAGGTTACGAAACAGGCCTGTCTGCGAATCTCCCTCATGCAAATGTACCTAAATAACATTATTAACATCGACATTTTAAACAGAAACCCAGGGCATATTATGAATTTCACATTTGAACGCTTTTAACATGACTGTCACAGCGAAATGTATGTTTCAAGTACATGTTTTACGGCTTTGTATCAGAATAATTGGGTTTTTTAGATGTAATATTCTGCTAAAGCCGATGCTTTATGATGAGTTTTAAAGCAGACATCTTATATTATTATTAATGCTGTATTTTGTCACTAATACGCTGTTGTTATGAGACCATTTTACTCACCGTCTCCGGAACCTCGATGTTTGTTTTTGTTATTCTTCGGTTAGTTGACAGTTTAAGACCCGCCCCCTCTCCCGGATGTGACGTAGTTTAAATGTCGTTTTTTCCTGTCCTTTCCTGACCGTCAATGTTAAAAAACAAAACTGAAATTGACGAAATATATAAATAAATCCCACATTTCTGAGGTTTAATGTTTGAATCCAAATCATATTGACAATGTTATACTATGAATACTTAAATTGTCTATATAAATATATACCCAAATAAGGCTTGTTTACATTTGAATTGTGGGCAGAAATAGAAGGATATCCATTATTTACATTATATAAAAACATGAAATCCAGAACTAATCAACCAAACGTTTATAAATATGTGCATTTTCTAGCCTTTTCAAGTAAATTGCATCGAAAAATAAGACATTTTTCCTCTTTTTTTTGTATTCTGAGGGATTTTGTACAGATATGCCACACTTTATAAATGATAAACCGGGTATTTAATGCACAGATTAATTCATTTGATGCTCAAAACTCAACTGCTTTGGTCGTTTTATGATCCAATTCTAACACTATGGGCCTTTCTCATTTCTCGAATTCCCCTCCTCGACTCCTATCCTCGTGTCTTATGCTGGGTTCACACCGGACGCGACTATTCGTTTAGGGTTAGGGTTAGCAAGGCTACAGTCAAAAACCAGGAACAGACTACAAAGAGACATTTTCTCCCACAGCTGATATGACAAGTGTAAGAGTAAGCACAAGAGGGACTCATTTTACACCAGATGGACGTTAAGACAGCCTATTTGCATGCACCCATTGATTGTGAAATTTCATTAGGGAAACTGTAAATAACGGAAAGTTAACTTTAGAGTCAATAAACTGAACCCACTCTCTGCTCAGCTGCTCATGCATTTCATTTTAAAGACATCACAGAGTCAGAAAACCTTTATTAGTCCCACAGAGGGTACATGTACATTTGTTCCAGCAGAAAGAGCCAAAGACAGCTTAACGTTAACTAAGAAGCATAACAACAAATATTAAAGAGACTTTTTTTTTAAATGCCACAATTTACAAAATCCACATCCTGTAGCGGTTCTGAAGAGAACACATCTTATAGGTTTCAACAATATCTGATCACATGTCATAAAGACTACATGCACAGCTTTAGCACAGTTTCAATGACACCAGGCAGAGCTCCTTTAGAAGAGTTACAAATCAACGGGAACATTTGAATGGATATTAAAGGTTTCCTATTATGCTATTTTTAGGCAAATATTATGGGTCTCAGATATATAAAAAACATGTCTATTAGGGGTGGGGGAAATAATCGATACAGCATAGTATCGCGATACTTTAATTGGCGATATTGGCAATACACGGATGCCAAGTATCGATATTTTATTAAATACACTTTTTATAATATACACTGTAGCATATTCCTTCGAAAGATGGTCGTATATAAAACAGGAAGTTACGTTAGTATACAATTGCAATGAAAGTAACAAAAACAATGCCATCTCCTTTTCAGGTTCAAATAACACACATTGGGTTAAACTATTCATATTGCAAATACATGTTTTAACCAGGAAGGGAAGACGGACATGGATATGACCCATGTGATCTGCAATATATCGTATCGCAATACTTAGCATATCGTAAGATCACAATACTATCGTATCGTGGCTTAAGTATCGCGATAGTATCGTATCGTGGGGAGCCTGGTGATTCCCAGCCCTAATGTCTATGAAGTGTTTTGCTGAAAATACCAAACAGATCATACATTTTAGAATCCCTCATATCCCTCTGTTCCAGCTGTTAGAGAAACACTGATTCTGGGTCCTTAGCTTTATAAAAAAAGGAGGGGAAGCTTTTGCCTGCTCAGAATTCTCCGGAGATAAAGCTAAACGCTGCGGTGATTAAACGCCATCATGTTCCAAACCACATCAAGGATTATCTCTGAAACAGTTTGGAGCTCAAAGGCTTTCTCTCTTGCCGGTTATACCACAAGGTGAGTTACTTTTTACTTCCTGCTTCTTCACACACATGCTCTCCAGTACAGGTTAGCTCTGAGTGTTAGCGATGCTAATGTAAACACAGACCATATTACGTCCAAAACACGTTCCGCATTGTTTCTGATAGCAACGTTTCTGATTGGGCCGTGGGTCTACATTTCAGATATTACGGCATATCGGACGCAAATCTGGATCAGCTCCGTTGTTCCCCGTTTTTAGAGATTTGGGTACGGAGGAAAAGAGAGAGGGTTTTATTTTCTGACGCTGCGTGAGTCTCCTGACACCGGGGACACATGTTTATGTATAAAATACATCACAAAGTGACTTTTGCCTGATAGGAGACCTTTAAATGAACCCGGGGTGATGAACACAAAGAAGAGCTCAAATCATTTCTTCTTCTTGGCTTTTTCTGACTTTGTCCTCAAAGACTTTGAGAGCGTCTCCAAGAGAACCAGTGCTTTGATTACAGGGAGAACGTCTCCCCCCCAAACGCAGGATTATGGGATGCCTGGGGACCATTTTGAGATGGACACGGGTCAACAGGTAGCCCTCAGGGACCTGGAAGAGAAACAGGGAAATACTTTGGTTACAAAACCAGCAGTAGATTGTAGACGGGCTTCTTCAACTGATAGAGGAGAGTATTTGTTCTCACTGGATCAATACTATCTGATCTGCTCTCATCTCTCTGTACTGTGGTGTGAAGGAACTAAGTATATACTCATGTGCTGTACTAAAGTACCATTTTGATGTACTTGTGCTCTACCTGAGTATTTAAATTGAACCTGTTATCTGAACGTATGAATGTGTATGTTAGGCTGACACCATCCTAGGTTAGTTTACTGTATAGCAGAGGTTCTTTTGAATGCAGTCCCTCATCAGAACCACCTTTATTAACAACAGGTACGTTTACACACACAAGGAAGTAGATTTAGTGTCTGGTGGTGCGAACATAAACAACATAAGAAAATAAGTTGCAATAGAAGGTCAAGAATATAAAGATAACAAAAATAAGTATTTTTAAGAAACTATTTACCATTAAAAAAATAATTAGACAAGTATTTACACCGAATGTAAATGTAAATATACAAAGAACCTTAAAAGCTACAACAATTAGCAGAATGAAAATATGACAATATATGTAAAACTACAGAGAGTTGTATTTTAAAGCAGGGCCGTTTCTAGCTGTTTGGGGGCCCCATGCAAGATGCTGTTTGGGGGCCCCATGCAAGATGGTGTTTGAGGGCCCCATGCAAGATGAAGTTTGGGGGCCCCATGCAAGATGCTGTTTGGGGGCCCCATGCAAGATGGTGTTTGAGGGCCCCATGCAAGTTGAAGTTTTGGGGCCCCATGCAAGATGCTGTTTGGGGGCCCCATGCAAGATGCTGTTTGAGGGCCCCATGCAAGATGAAGTTTGGGGGCCTATGCAAGATGCTGTTTGGGGGCCCTATGCAAGATGCTGTTTGGGGGCCCTATGCAAGATGCTGTTTGGGGGCCCTATGCAAGATGAAGTTTGGGGCCCTATGCAAGATGCTGTTTGGGGCCCTATGCAAGATGCTGTTTGGGGGCCCTATGCAAGATGCTGTTTGGGGGCCCCATGCAAGATGCTGTTTGGGGGCCCCATGCAAGATGCTGTTTGAGGGCCCCATGCAAGTTGAAGTTTTGGGGCCCCATGCAAGATGCTGTTTGGGGGCCCCATGCAAGATGCTGTTTGAGGGCCCCATGCAAGATGAAGTTTGGGGGCCTATGCAAGATGCTGTTTGGGGGCCTATGCAAGATGCTGTTTGGGGGCCCTATGCAAGATGCTGTTTGGGGGCCCTATGCAAGATGAAGTTTGGGGCCCTATGCAATATGCTGTTTGGGGCCCTATGCAAGATGCTGTTTGGGGGCCCTATGCAAGATGCTGTTTGGGGGCCCCATGCAAGATGCTGTTTGGGGGCCCCATGCAAGATGCTGTTTGAGGGCCCCATGCAAGATGCTGTTTGAGGGCCCCATGCAAGATGAAGTTTGGGGGCCTATGCAAGATGCTGTTTGGGGGCCTATGCAAGATGCTGTTTGGGGGCCCTATGCAAGATGCTGTTTGGGGAACCCATGCAAGATGCTGTTTGGGGGCCCCATGCAAGATGCTGTTTGAGGGCCCCATGCAAGTTGAAGTTTTGGGGCCCCATGCAAGATGCTGTTTGGGGGCCCCATGCAAGATGAAGTTTGGGGGCCTATGCAAGATGCTGTTTGGGGGCCTATGCAAGATGCTGTTTGGGGGCCCTATGCAAGATGCTGTTTGGGGGCCCTATGCAAGATGAAGTTTGGGGCCCTATGCAAGATGCTGTTTGGGGCCCTATGCAAGATGCTGTTTGGGGGCCCTATGCAAGATGCTGTTTGGGGGCCCCATGCAAGATGCTGTTTGGGGGCCCCATGCAAGATGCTGTTTGAGGGCCCCATGCAAGTTGAAGTTTTGGGGCCCCATGCAAGATGCTGTTTGGGGGCCCCATGCAAGATGCTGTTTGAGGGCCCCATGCAAGATGAAGTTTGGGGGCCTATGCAAGATGCTGTTTGGGGGGCCTATGCAAGATGCTGTTTGGGGGCCCTATGCAAGATGCTGTTTGGGGGCCCTATGCAAGATGAAGTTTGGGGGCCCCATGCAAGATGCTGTTTGGGGCCCTATGCAAGATGCTGTTTGGGGGCCCTATGCAAGATGCTGTTTGGGGGCCCCATGCAAGATGCTGTTTGAGGGCCCCATGCAAGTTGAAGTTTTGGGGCCCCATGCAAGATGCTGTTTGGGGGCCCCATGCAAGATGCTGTTTGAGGGCCCCATGCAAGATGAAGTTTGGGGGCCTATGCAAGATGCTGTTTGGGGGCCTATGCAAGATGCTGTTTGGGGGCCCTATGCAAGATGCTGTTTGGGGGCCCCATGCAAGATGCTGTTTGGGGGGCCCCATGCAAGATGCTGTTTGAGGGCCCCATGCAAGTTGAAGTTTTGGGGCCCCATGCAAGATGCTGTTTGGGGGCCCCATGCAAGATGCTGTTTGAGGGCCCCATGCAAGATGAAGTTTGGGGGCCTATGCAAGATGCTGTTTGGGGGGCCTATGCAAGATGCAGTTTGGGGGCCCTATGCAAGATGCTGTTTGGGGGCCCTATGCAAGATGAAGTTTGGGGCCCTATGCAAGATGCTGTTTGGGGCCCTATGCAAGATGCTGTTTGGGGGCCCTATGCAAGATGCTGTTTGGGGGCCCCATGCAAGTTGAAGTTTTGGGGCCCCATGCAAGATGCTGTTTGGGGGCCCCATGCAAGATGCTGTTTGAGGGCCCCATGCAAGATGAAGTTTGGGGGCCTATGCAAGATGCTGTTTGGGGGCCTATGCAAGATGCTGTTTGGGGGCCCTATGCAAGATGCTGTTTGGGGGCCCTATGCAAGATGAAGTTTGGGGCCCTATGCAAGATGCTGTTTGGGGCCCTATGCAAGATGCTGTTTGGGGGCCCTATGCAAGATGAAGTTTGGGGGCCCTATGCAAGATGCTGTTTGGGGGCCCTATGCAAGATGCTGTTTGTGGCCCTATGCAAGATGCTGTTTGGGGAACCTATGCAAGATGCTGTTTGGGGCCCTATGCAAGATGCTGTTTGGGGGCCCTATGCAAGATGCTGTTTGGGGGCCCTATGCAAGATGCTGTTTGGGGGCCCCATGCAAGATGAAGTTTGGGGGCCCCATGCAAGATGCTATTTGGGGGCCCTAGGCAAGATGCTGTTTGGGGGCCCTATGCAAGATGAAGTTTGGGGCCCTATGCAAGATGAAGTTTGGGGACCCCATGCAAGATGAAGTTTGGGGGCCCCATGCAAGATGCTGTTTGGGGGCCCCATGCAAGATGCTGTTTGAGGGCCCCATGCAAGATGAAGTTTGGGGGCCTATGCAAGATGCTGTTTGGGGGCCTATGCAAGATGCTGTTTGGGGGCCCTATGCAAGATGCTGTTTGGGGGCCCTATGCAAGATGAAGTTTGGGGCCCTATGCAATATGCTGTTTGGGGCCCTATGCAAGATGCTGTTGGGGGCCCTATGCAAGATGCTGTTTGGGGGCCCCATGCAAGATGCTGTTTGGGGGCCCCATGCAAGATGCTGTTTGAGGGCCCCATGCAAGATGCTGTTTGAGGGCCCCATGCAAGATGAAGTTTGGGGGCCTATGCAAGATGCTGTTTGGGGGCCTATGCAAGATGCTGTTTGGGGGCCCTATGCAAGATGCTGTTTGGGGAACCCATGCAAGATGCTGTTTGGGGGCCCCATGCAAGATGCTGTTTGAGGGCCCCATGCAAGTTGAAGTTTTGGGGCCCCATGCAAGATGCTGTTTGAGGGCCCCATGCAAGATGAAGTTTGGGGGCCTATGCAAGATGCTGTTTGGGGGCCTATGCAAGATGCTGTTTGGGGGCCCTATGCAAGATGCTGTTTGGGGGCCCTATGCAAGATGAAGTTTGGGGCCCTATGCAAGATGCTGTTTGGGGCCCTATGCAAGATGCTGTTTGGGGGGGCCCTATGCAAGATGCTGTTTGGGGGCCCCATGCAAGATGCTGTTTGGGGGCCCCATGCAAGATGCTGTTTGAGGGCCCCATGCAAGTTGAAGTTTTGGGGCCCCATGCAAGATGCTGTTTGGGGGCCCCATGCAAGATGCTGTTTGAGGGCCCCATGCAAGATGAAGTTTGGGGGCCTATGCAAGATGCTGTTTGGGGGCCTATGCAAGATGCTGTTTGGGGGCCCTATGCAAGATGCTGTTTGGGGGCCCTATGCAAGATGAAGTTTGGGGGCCCTATGCAAGATGCTGTTTGGGGCCCTATGCAAGATGCTGTTTGGGGGCCCTATGCAAGATGCTGTTTGGGGGCCCCATGCAAGATGCTGTTTGAGGGCCCCATGCAAGTTGAAGTTTTGGGGCCCCATGCAAGATGCTGTTTGGGGGCCCCATGCAAGATGCTGTTTGAGGGCCCCATGCAAGATGAAGTTTGGGGGCCTATGCAAGATGCTGTTTGGGGGCCTATGCAAGATGCTGTTTGGGGGCCCTATGCAAGATGCTGTTTGGGGGCCCCATGCAAGATGCTGTTTGGGGGCCCCATGCAAGATGCTGTTTGAGGGCCCCATGCAAGTTGAAGTTTTGGGGGCCCCATGCAAGATGCTGTTTGGGGGCCCCATGCAAGATGCTGTTTGAGGGCCCCATGCAAGATGAAGTTTGGGGGCCTATGCAAGATGCTGTTTGGGGGCCTATGCAAGATGCTGTTTGGGGGCCCTATGCAAGATGCTGTTTGGGGGCCCTATGCAAGATGAAGTTTGGGGCCCTATGCAAGATGCTGTTTGGGGCCCTATGCAAGATGCTGTTTGGGGGCCCTATGCAAGATGCTGTTTGGGGGCCCCATGCAAGTTGAAGTTTTGGGGCCCCATGCAAGATGCTGTTTGGGGGGCCCCATGCAAGATGCTGTTTGAGGGCCCCATGCAAGATGAAGTTTGGGGGCCTATGCAAGATGCTGTTTGGGGGCCTATGCAAGATGCTGTTTGGGGGCCCTATGCAAGATGCTGTTTGGGGGCCCTATGCAAGATGAAGTTTGGGGCCCTATGCAAGATGCTGTTTGGGGCCCTATGCAAGATGCTGTTTGGGGGCCCTATGCAAGATGAAGTTTGGGGGCCCTATGCAAGATGCTGTTTGGGGGCCCTATGCAAGATGCTGTTTGTGGCCCTATGCAAGATGCTGTTTGGGGAACCTATGCAAGATGCTGTTTGGGGCCCTATGCAAGATGCTGTTTGGGGGCCCTATGCAAGATGCTGTTTGGGGAACCTATGCAAGATGCTGTTTGGGGGCCCCATGCAAGATGAAGTTTGGGGGCCCCATGCAAGATGCTATTTGGGGGCCCTAGGCAAGATGCTGTTTGGGGGGCCCTATGCAAGATGAAGTTTGGGGCCCTATGCAAGATGAAGTTTGGGGACCCCATGCAAGATGAAGTTTGGGGGCCCTATGCAAGATGCTGTTTGGGGGCCCCATGCAAGATGCTGTTTGGGGGCCCTATGCAAGATGAAGTTTGGGGCCCTATGCAAGATGCTGTTTGTGGCCCTATGCAAGATGCTGTTTGGGGAACCTATGCAAGATGCTGTTTGGGGCCCTATGCAAGATGCTGTTTGGGGGCCCCATGCAAGATGCTATTTGGGGGGCCCTAGGCAAGATGCTGTTTGGGGGCCCTATGCAAGATGCTGTTTGGGGGCCCCATGCAAGATGAAGTTTGGGGGCCCCATGCAAGATGCTATTTGGGGGGCCCTAGGCAAGATGCTGTTTGGGGGCCCTATGCAAGATGAAGTTTGGGGCCCTATGCAAGATGAAGTTTGGGGACCCCATGCAAGATGAAGTTTGGGGGCCCTATGCAAGATGCTGTTTGGGGGCCCCATGCAAGATGCTGTTTGGGGGCCCTATGCAAGATGAAGTTTGGGGCCCTATGCAAGATGAAGTTTGGGGGCCCTATGCAAGATGCTGTTTGGGGGCCCTATGCAAGATGCTGTTTGGGGGCCCATGCAAGATGCTGTTTGGGGGCCCTATGCAAGATGAAGTTTGGGGGCCCCATGCAAGATGCTGTTTGGGGGCCCATGCAAGATACTGTTTGGGGGCCCTATGCAAGATGAAGTTTGGGGGCCCCATGCAAGATGCTGTTTGGGGCCCCATGCAAGATGAAGTTTGGGGGCCCTATGCAAGATGAAGTTTGGGGGCCCTATGCAAGATGCTGTTTGGGGGCCCTATGCAAGATGCTGTTTGGGGGCCCATGCAAGATACTGTTTGGGGGCCCTATGCAAGATGAAGTTTGGGGGCCCCATGCAAGATGCTGTTTGGGGCCCTATGCAAGATGAAGTTTGGGGGCCCTATGCAAGATGCTGTTTGGGGGCCCTATGCAAGATGCTGTTTGGGGCCCCATGCAAGATGCTGTTTGGGGGCCCCATGCAAGATGCTGTTTGGGGCCCCATGCAAGATGCTGTTTGGGGCCCTATGCAAGATGCTGTTTGGGGGCCCCATGCAAGATGCTGTTTGGGGGCCCTATGCAAGATGCTGTTTGGGGCCCCATGCAAGATGCTGTTTGGGGGCCCCATGCAAGATGCTGTTTGGGGCCCCATGCAAGATGCTGTTTGGGGCCCTATGCAAGATGCTGTTTGGGGCCCCATGCAAGATGCTGTTTGGGGCCCCATGCAAGATGCTGTTTGGGGCCCTATGCAAGATGCTGTTTGGGGCCCTATGCAAGATGCTGTTTGGGGGCCCCATGCAAGATGCTGTTTGGGGGCCCTATGCAAGATGCTGTTTGGGGCCCCATGCAAGATGCTGTTTGGGGGCCCCATGCAAGATGCTGTTTGGGGCCCCATGCAAGATGCTGTTTGGGGCCCTATGCAAGATGCTGTTTGGGGGCCCCATGCAAGATGCTGTTTGGGGGCCCCATGCAAGATGCTGTTTGGGGGCCCCATGCAAGATGCTGTTTGGGGCCCCATGCAAGATGCTGTTTGGGGGCCCTATGCAAGATGCTGTTTGGGGCCCCATGCAAGATGCTGTTTGGGGCCCCATGCAAGATGCTGTTTGGGGCCCTATGCAAGATGCTGTTTGGGGCCCTATGCAAGATGCTGTTTGGGGCCCCATGCAAGATGCTGTTTGGGGCCCCATGCAAGATGCTGTTTGGGGGCCCTATGCAAGATGCTGTTTGGGGGGCCCCATGCAAGATGCTGTTTGGGGGCCCTATGCAAGATGCTGTTTGGGGCCCTATGCAAGATGCTGTTTGGGGCCCCATGCAAGATGCTGTTTGGGGCCCTATGCAAGATGCTGTTTGGGGCCCCATGCAAGATGCTGTTTGGGGCCCTATGCAAGATGCTGTTTGGGGCCCCATGCAAGATGCTGTTTGGGGGCCCTAGTCTTTACAGTGTTTTAACTACAATGGGGGATCCTGAAGCTTTTAAAAAGCCAAACAAAAGGCTCCTCTACGTCAATAAATGCAAGAGATGCAGCATTTTCTCAACAATGTATAATTTACATTTCTCATCTTCCTCAGACGTCACTCATTGGCTGACAGCCCAAAAATGATTTGGACGTTATTGATCCCCACAAACACAAGCCTCAGCTTTGCTATCGTTGCAGTTTAGTTGTGTTTATATCCTACATTTGATTCTTAAGCATATAATGCTTCACTGAACACAGGAGGGGGCTGTCTACAAATAAAGACGGTCATTTGAATTCTCCACAAATATATTGAGGCTGAACCTGAACTTTCAGCTTGGGGGCCCTAGTGGGCACGGGGGCCCCCTAGTGGGCATCCGCATAGTCCGCCTATAGGAAGAAACGGCCCTGCTTTAAAGTGGAGGGCTGTGCAGACGTGTGCAAACATGGCATGAAATGAAAGAAGGATGGTTATATAAAGATATTATTGAAGTAGTGTTTGGTCGTGTTAGAGGATCAGCTGTATGAAGATCCAGGTGTGTGTTCAGGTGAGAAGAACACTGGAGCCTGGAGTTATGAAACAGAGTTAGCTCAACTCCAGCTCAACGAACACAAACTACAATAACAGAACATCCAGAGACCAAAGCTAAGTATTCAGATTACTGGGAACCTCTGAGTTCGTTGTTGATTTCCAAAGGATTATTAACGAGTTAACATGTGACAGCAGGACCAGCCAATCACAGCAGAGCGTGAGACATTGATCACAGCAGATTAACTGATATATAATTACATATATTTATTCATTTAAATGTATGTTCAGGTTATGGTGACACATCTTTGTTCTTAAGAAAAGCTTTAAGTACAATTGATTGTTTTTGTTCATTTAATGTTGAGGACAGCCAACAGGAAGTCTCAGCTGCAGCCTTCTTTCATACTTTCCTAAATGCCTCCACGCTCCTCTGTACGTCTCAAACTCGCCCCGTGATAAATCAACTGTGAACAAATAAAACCTGAGCTGCAGATTTCTCTTGAATCCCAGAAAACACTGACCAGTAACTACATTTTAATCTGTAGGGAAACCTCAATAAATAAAGTTCACACGGTACGACCTCTCACCTTCCTGTGTGTCTTCACTTCCTGTCACCTGAGAGCAGAAGGAGAGAGAGAGAGAATGATGATGATGATAAAACATGAAGAGAAACAGACAAGATGATGAAGAGAGAAACCAGAGTGTTGTTTTCCTCTGAGCTCATGCTCCATTAAAGAGTCTCATATCTGGATGAATGGAGGATATTCAGTACTCACAGGTCTTCTGGATCGTGGCTCTGAACGTCTCATCCCATCCGATCCTGTAAGGATGAACACAATCCAACAGCTTTAGATCCAGTTTAAAATAAGAGTTAGTTCTTTGAGTCAGCTTCAGAGTCCTGATCTCATGCTTTACATCCCATCATATCTTCTCTGCAAACACTACGACTGCCTGCCTCAGCTCTCAGCTGACAGGAAGTAACCAGTCATTAGAAACTAAAAACATCCCATAAGAACAGACTACCTTTCCCTCTCTTCTGTAAACCCCACATGTCTGTCAGAGAGTAGATTACTAAAGTGAGGCTTTGCATTTCCAGCTGGCCTTCTCTAGTTGATGGAAGAATGGAAGAGCCTGCAGTCAGTGGGTAACATCACTGATCTGTTCCCCAGAGAGAGAAACACCTCCCTGAGTTTCATACCATACTGCTGAACCAGCAGAGACCCCTCACTGACCTGAGGGTCTCCAGTCTGCAGTCTGGACTCTCCAGAAGATCTCTCAGCAGCTCCACTCCTGAATCCTGCAGAGCGTTCTGACTCAGGTCCAGATCTCTCAGATGGAGGTTGGACTTCAGAGCTGAGGCCAGAGCAGAACAGCTGATCTCTGACAAACTGCAGCTCCTCAGTCTGAATAAAGAAAACATGATGTAACTTTAGAAAACAAAGTTCCTGTTAGAAATAACTCCAGGTTTAATAATCTGATCAGAGTCAAACAGGGTTTGAATTAGGGATGGGAATGATTCATCCAATATTCAAAATGATTCAGGTATTGGAATATGAGTTATGAATATCTGTATTGTAATGATTATTGTTTCTATGGGAGGGGTGCCTAAGTTGATTACATATTATCAAATGGATTAATTCAATGTTTACGACCGTGCCATTTTAAATATCTTAAGAAAAATATCAACAACAAAAAAACACGTGTAACGTTTCCAGGGCTCAGCCCAGAGGACGATGCTCTGACGTCATCACCCTCGCACACTTCTCACATGTTTACTAAAAACTATATATATGTTAAAACTTTTCTCGTTCTTAATATAGACTTTATTTAAGGTCCATATGAGTTGACTCAGAGTGTGTGTGTGTGTGTGTGTGTGTGTGTGTGTGTGTGTGTGTGTGTGTGTGTGTGTGTGTGTGTGTGTGTGTGCTATACTCGAGCAGCTCTACAAATGAACTGAGATCTCCACACAAATTATCTTCAGCAAGTGTGCAGAGCAACGTTGATTTAAAATAGTCATTTGAAGGTTGGATATTTCTAAACCTTTTGTTTATATATTAATAATTTAATATAAACCCTCGCACCTCCACAGAGAGCCCCCCCACATATCAAACACCAACTTAACCCCTGAACGTTACTCTCTAACGGAGAGTCCTACACGACAAACAAAAATGTATTATTAAAAATATATATATTATAGGATATTGTAGTGATCACTGTTTATCATAATTCACCCATGGAACTACAAGTTGGGGGTATTGTTCCGCACAGACACACATGTTAACTGTACCTCTTGTGTACCTACTGTGTGCCCTCCTTTCTCTTCTCCCCTTCTCTTCCCGGACTGCAACCGGACAACATGTGCTTTTCTGCTGCTCAATAAAGCCAACTTTGCACCTTCGACGCCCCGCCTCCGACTCCCTTCTCTCGGCACTACAATATGTACATTTCTAATATTCTGTTAACTGTTTTTTGGGGGTCGACTATTCGAATATAAATTTGCTCTCAAATTCCAATCCCTGGTTAATAGAGTGATGCAGGGACAAGTCCTAAAACCAGGAAGTGAGTCAGCATTTCTCCACTTCCTGTTCCCTCGTCTCAGAGCCAATGGGATCTCTCCATAGGATTTAGGAAAATATCTGGAACTAAGGTCTGTGTTTGAGACTCATTGAAGAGACGGGTCACGTTTTGTTCTGCGACTTTAAATCCATCAGCAGTGACCCCACTGGTGATTTCTGAAGAGTTGACGTGTCTGAAAAACGATGGTTGTTACCAAGTGGCTGAATAGGACTACAGAAGTTGAGGTCGTTGTACGTCATTACACCGAACACGTAAACACTCCTCTAAGTTAGTTTGCCCTGTTCTGCTTGAAAGCAAGTCCCTGCCTCCTGCAAAGTGTTCAAACAAACGCTTCAACTCGTGCCATTTATAATCTGTAGTTTTGAATATGGATCTTAAGTCGGCGTGACCTTGAAATCGTGCTGCTGAACTTGGCTGTAGTTCCTTTACAGCATAACGTTAGCATTTTGCTTCTAGCGATTAGATTTATGATTCGAACACTATAAAAGTAGGGTAGACATGTGGAGATTATCCGGCTGAACAAAACGTGCATTTATCAAACAGGTTGGTTTTCCACAGACATTATTTCCAGCTATTTTCCAAAATCCTATGGAGGAATCCCATTGCTTTTTTTCCGGGTAAATACGTCATCCCTGCACCTCTCTATATCAGAGATGATTTAGAAACAATCCACTGATAATCTGGAACTCTAACTTTGATCAGATGTTTAACAACTCCTTCATCTCCCTCACAGCTCATCAGTACTGACAGCATCTCCACTGACTCATGGAGCTCAGAGGGAGTCTGTTATATCTCATCTCAGCTCTTAAGGTTGCCTTTCTGGTGGATCAGGTACAACTGGCAAAAAGGGGTGGAGCACCAAGATTGGTCCATAACCAAAGGTGAATAACTTCAATACTCAATCACATCCCAGAGGCACACTGTGGTAGGCTCTGTGGGAGGCATGGTTCCCTTACTCTGCTCTGTGACTGCAGAGCTGCTGGAAGTCCTTCTCTGGGGGATAGACCCATGCATTTGAGGAGAACATCATTTGACTAGATGTTATGTTTGCATGATTATTCATAATGTATAGAAAGACATATGTTGGAGGAGAGTCAGCTCGTCTGTTTCTCTTGTGATCCTGATGTTCATATTTATTAAAGTCAGCATTGCTCAAATTAACAATTGTGTGAAAATTAAAGGATAAAGAACAAAAACCAGATGAAGCCAGGCCAGCTGTTTCCCCATCTGTTTGCTGAGTCAAGCTAACCAGCTGCTCATGGTAGCATGATGACATCCAGATGTGATGACATACCAGCCATTAGTCTACAAACTGAAAACATCACATAAAAAACATTAAAATAAAGAACAGACTACCTTTCCCTCTCTTCTGTAAACCCCACATGTCTGTCAGAGAGTAGATTACTAAAGTGAGGCTTTGCATTTCCAGCTGGCCTTCTCTAGTTGATGGAAGAATGGAAGAGCCTGCAGTCAGTGGGTAACATCACTGATCTGTTCCCCAGAGAGAGAAACACCTCCCTGAGTTTCATACAATACTGCTGAACCAGCAGAGACCCCTCACTGACCTGAGGGTCTCCAGTCTGCAGTCTGGACTCTCCAGAAGATCTCTCAGCAGCTCCACTCCTGAATCCTTCAGAGCGTTCCAACTCAGGTCCAGATCTCTCAGATGGATGTTGGACTTCAGAGCTGAGGCCAGAGCAGAACAGCTGATCTCTGACAACCTGCAGCCCTTCAGACTGAATAAAGAAAACATGATGTAACTTTAGAAAACAATGTTCCTGTTAGAAATAACTCCAGGTTTAATAATCTGATCAGAGTTAAACAGGGTTTGAATTAGGGATGGGAATGATTCATCCAATATTCAAAATGATTCAGGTATTGGAATATGAGTTATGAATATCTGTATTGTAATGATTATTGTTTCTATGGGAGGGGTGCCTAAGTTGATTACATATTATCAAATGGATTAATTCAATGTTTACGACCGTGCCATTTTAAATATCTTAAGAACTATATCAACAAAAAAACACGTGTAACGTTTCCAGGGCTCAGCCCAGAGGACGATGCTCTGACGTCATCACCCTCGCACACTTCTCACATGTTTACAAAAAACTATATAGATGTTAAAACTTTTCTCGTTCTTAATATAGACTTTATTTAAGGTCCATATGAGTTGACTTTCATTTAAAATAGATCTCTGTGACCGGATAGAGTTTTTCGTCTTAGTGAACGTGTCTCTGCTGTGTGTGTGTGTGGGGGGGGGGGCGTGCGTGTGTGTGTGTCAAACACCCTGACCCGCCCTGTAACACGGAGCCGTTCCCTAAGCCATGCTAAATGTGTGTGTGTGTGTGTGTGTGTGTGTGTGTGTGTGTGTGTGTGTGTGTGTGTGTGTGTGTGTGTGTGCGCTATACTCGAGCAGCTCTACAAATGAACTGAGATCTCCACACAAATGATCTTCAGCAAGTGTGCAGAGCGACGTTGATTTAAAATAGTCATTTGAAGGTTGGATATTTCTAAACCTTTTGTTTATATATTAATAATTTAATATAAACCCTCGCACCTCCACAGAGAGCCCCCCCACGTATCAAACACCAACTTAACCCCTGAACGTTGCTCTCTAACGGAGAGTCCTACACGACAAACACAAATGTGTTTATTATTTAAAATGTATTAATTTTTTTTACAGCATCTCCTCTGACTCATGGAGCTCAGAGGGAGTCTGTTATACAGACCCGGCGCCAGAACAAATCTAAAGGGAGGGCATATGATTTTCATGGATGGCACACAAAACCGTCACGTGCTGCGGGCCTGCGGCACAACATATATCAAACAGCGAGGCCAACAGCATCGCACAAAGACGCACACTTATCGCAAACACACACAAATAAAGGGCAACATAGAAACCACTTTGAAACATTGTGTGCGTGGCAGCACAGACACTGGTAAATCACGAGCAAGGCACACTGGTTAAGGATGGCAGCTTCCTCATCGCTGCACTCAGAGAGAAATAGTAGAGACGGAGACGATGAGCTGTTTAGCCCGCCTTGGGCATGGTTTATGTTCCTATGCACTGCACTCAGACATGCTGTGGAGTGAATCGAGTCACCTCTGAGAGGGAGTTGGTTGACAGCTAAAAAAGCTATAATATCCGTCCGTCTCTCTCTCTCTCTCTCTCTCTCTCTCTCTCTCTCTCTCTCTCCCTCTCTCTCCTCCTCTCTATCTCGCTCTCTTACTCTCTCTCTCTCTCTCTCTCTCTCTGTAAATCTCTCTCTCTCTCTCTCTCTCTCTCTCTCTCTCTCTCTCTCTCTCTCTCTCTCTCTCTCTCTGTAAATCTCTCTCTCTCTCTCTCTCTCTCTCTCTCTCTCTCCACCAACTCTCACATGAAATGTGTTCTTTTGATGCGGCATGCCTTAGCAGTCCTTTATCAGTCTGTAATGCGTGTTTCCAGTCGCAAAAACCTTTGACAGTAAAAGCCGCATCAGATGAAGACGTATTTACTTTAAACTGTCTACAGGGGAAACAAAAGGCTGCGTCTGCTTTTAACAACTCTTCAAGCCGGTCTGTTGTGTACCATGCAGCGGCAAAAGTGCGCTTCTTTCCTGAAAACAATCTCCCTGGATAACGATCCAGTTTCACCTGGTTGGGTTTATTAACCCCAAGATCATCTGGGGCTGTTGGTCTTTGAGCGGTTGCTGGCCCAATAGAACCTGTTGATGTGCTGCAAGGTAGCGTCTGTAGTGGAGGCACCGGCACGGAGGAGGAGGAGGAGGAGGAGGAGGAGGAGGAGGAGGAGGAGGAGGAGGAGGAGGAGGAGGAGGAGGAGGAGGAGGAGGATGCTGGCGGGTGTGGTACAGGGTGTGGCAACGCAGGTGGTGATGGTAGGGGCACAAGGAGCTGTGCCTCGGAGGACAGCGTTGGTGGCGGCCGCCTTGATGAGTCAAGGCTTGGGCTCGCTAACTCAGCCCCGGGGTTTGCCGAGGTCAAGCTTGTGACATTAAGGCGTGCTGCTGCAACGGCAGGTGCAGGGTCGCCAGCAGCTGCATCGGCTGCAGTTCTTTCATCGCTATTTCGTTTTAATAAATCCTTAAACCTTTTTAAGCCAATTTCTGATGTACATTTTGTAATTCAAACATAAATGGGAGTCTACAGAATGCACAATAAACAAATCCAGAATGTGACGCTGTGATTGGTCTAAATGTGGACGAATCACAAATCACAACAGACACATGCATTTATTTGACGTAGCCTGCGATTTTTTGTTTTAGTTACTATCTGACATCACATACATCGTAGCATAAAAGTTCACCGTTTATTTATAATTAAAAAAATAAAATATATATATTTTATTTTTATAAATAATAAAAAACGTGTTTATTGGGGGAGGGCAGGAATATTAAATGGGAGGGCCTGGCCCTCCCACGGCGCCGGGCATGCTGTTATATCTCATCTCAGCTCTAAAGGTTGCCTTTCTGGTGGGTCAGGTACAACTGGCAAAAAGGGGAGGAGCACCAAGATTGGTCCATAACCAAAGGTGAATAACTTCAATACGCATCACATCCCAGAGGCACACTGTGGTAGGCTCTGTGGGAGGCATGGCTCCCTTACTCTGCTCTGTGACTGCAGAGCTGCTGGAAGTCCTTCTCTGGGGGATGGACCCATGCATTTGAGGAGAACATCATTTGACTAGATGTTATGTTGGCGTGATTATTCATAATGGATAGAAAGACATGTGTTGGAGGAGAGTCAGCTCGTCTGTTTCTCTTGTGATCCTGATGTTCATATTTATTAAAGTCAGCATTGCTCAAATTAACAATTGTGTGAAAATTAAAGGATAAAGAACAAAAACCAGAGGAAGCCAGGCCAGCTGTTTCCCCATCTGTTTGCTGAGTCAAGCTAACCAGCTGCTCATGGTAGCATGATGACATCCAGATGTGATGACATACCAGCCATTAGTCTACAAACTGAAAACATCACATACAAAACATTAAAATAAAGAACAGACTACCTTTCCCTCTCTTCTGTAAACCCCACATGTCTGTCAGAGAGTAGATTACTAAAGTGAGGCTTTGCATTTCCAGCTGGCCTTCTCTAGTTGATGGAAGAATGGAAGAGCCTGCAGTCAGTGGGTAACATCACTGATCTGTTCCCCAGAGAGAGAAACACCTCCCTGAGTTTCATACAATACTGCTGAACCAGCAGAGACCCCTCACTGACCTGAGGGTCTCCAGTCTGCAGTCTGGACTCTCCAGAAGATCTCTCAGCAGCTCCACTCCTGAATCCTGCGGATCGTTGTAACTCAGGTTCAGATCTCTCAGATGGATGTTGGACTTCAGAGCTGAGGCCAGAGCAGAACAGCTGATCTCTGACAAACTGCAGCTCCTTCAGTCTGAATAAAGAAAACATGATGTAAGTTTAGAAAACAAAGTTCCTGTTAGAAATAACTCCAGGTTTAATAATCTGATCAGAGTCAAACAGGGTTTGAATTAGGGATGGGAATGATTCATCCAATATTCAAAATGTCTCAGGTATTGGAATATGAGTTATGAATATCTGTATTGTAATGATTATTGTTTCTATGGGAGGGGTGCCTAAGTTGATTACATATTATCAAATGGATTAATTCAATGTTTACGACCGTGCCATTTTAAATATCTTAAGAAAAATATCAACAACAAAAAAACACGTGTAACGTTTCCAGGGCTCAGCCCAGAGGACGATGCTCTGACGTCATCACCCTCGCACACTTCTCACATGTTTACTAAAAACTATATAGATGTTAAAACTTTTCTCGTTCTTAATATAGACTTTATTTAAGGTCCATATGAGTTGACTCAGAGTGTGTGTGTGTGTGTGTGTGTGTGTGTGTGTGTGTGTGTGTGTGTGTGTGTGTGTGTGTGTGTGTGTGTGTGTGTGTGTGTGTGTGTGTGTGTGTGTGTGTGTGTGCGCTATACTCGAGCAGCTCTACAAATGAACTGAGATCTCCACACAAATGATCTTCAGCAAGTGTGCAGAGCAACGTTGATTTAAAATAGTCATTTGAAGGTTGGATATTTCTAAACCTTTTGTTTATATATTAATAATTTAATATAAACCCTCGCACCTCCACAGAGAGCCCCCCCACGTATCAAACACCAACTTAACCCCTGAATGTTACTCTCTAACGGAGAGTCCTACACGACAAACACAAATGTATTTATTATTAAAAATATTATTTTTTTTAACATTTAAAAACATATATATATATTATTGGATTTGTACATTTTGAATATTCGGTTAACCGTTTTTTGGGGGTCGAATATTCGAACATACATTTACTTTCAAATTGCCATCCCTAGTTGATGTCAGAGATGATTTAGAAACAATCCACTGATAATCTGGAACTCTAACTTTGATCAGATGTTCATCAACTCCTTCCTCTCCCTCACAGCTCATCAGTCCTGACAGCATCTCCACTGACTCCTGGAGCTCAGAGTGAGTCTGTGGAAGCTCAGACTCTCTCCCTCACACATTCACCTTCTCTCTGTTACTCTGATCAATATTCAGTCATTAGCAAAGTGGACAAAATAACAATAATATTCTATTTGTTCTTTCAGTAAATAATAAACACAAACAGATCTGTATGAACTGCAGTCAGTGAACTGACCTGAGAGCCTTTAGTCTGCAGTTTGGACTCTTTAGTCCAGAACTCAGACGCTCCACATCTGAGTCCTTCAGAGGGCTGTGACTCAGGTTCAGATCTCTCAGGTGGGAGGGGTCAGACTTCAGAGCTGAGGCCACGACTTCACATTCAGTCTCTGAGAGTCCACAGTTAGTGAGTCTATAATAACATATAAATTACAACATGTGTTAAAAAGAGGAAACATTACATTAAACTCAAGCATTTGATGAAAACACATTTGACATGTTCTGATAGACATTTGCTGTCAGTCCATTTAATATGATGTATAATAGTAGAGTGTAATGAGTTGTCAGTGTGATCTGATCACATGTCTGTGCTCCTGCTGTCACTGGCTGTTACCAAAGAAACAGGAACATTAAATAAATCACAATGTTAGAGATGTACATATTTAGATGTGGATGTGAATGAATGATGGAGGATGTTTTGGCTTCTCTGAGCATCTGAACATTTACTGCACACACAATTAACAAAGCAATGACGTTTCAATATGTTCAACTGAATACCATCAGATGTTCCCAGAACATCAGCATTAAGACTTAACTCTGTTATTGGTGGGAAATGATATAGATCTTATTTTAAACTCCAACACATTGTGATAAAAACGTGTGTGTCTTAATGATAAAGAAACTACTAGAAAGTAATAAGTGCTTTCTGTGATAACTGTGAGTCCTGCTGTGTGGTGTGATCACATGCTGAGAAACCTCTAGAGTCCTTCATGTGTTTGACATGTCGCCTCCTTCACTCAACATGAAGAGAGGAACGCTTCAGTTGAACTATTATTATAAATAAATAGAAGAACAGTGTTGGTTTATTTTGCTCTCAGTATTTAAACAGCAGAAATGTTATCGTGTTTATTTGAATAATTAAACTCCTGATCCTCATTAGTTTATAAAGTGAATCACATCTGACTCACTTGGCCTTCCTGCAGTTCCTCACAGCTGGAATCAGTCTCCGTTGTCCCTCCTCTGATGCTCTGTACTTCTTTAGGTCCAACTCATCCAGAACCTCCTCTGACATCTGCAGCATGTAGGCCAGAGCAGAGCAGTGGATCTCAGAGAGTTCCTTCTCTGATCTGTTCTCTGTCTTCAGGAACTCTGTGATCTCCTGATGTACTGAGTGGTCCTTCATCTCTGTCAGACAGTGGAAGATGTTGATGCTCCTGTCAGGAGAGATTTCATCACTGCTCATCTCCTTCAGGTTGCTGATGGCTCTCTGGATGGTTTCTGGAGTGTTGTCTGTGCGACCCAGCTGGCCTCTGAAGAGTCTCTGGATGATTGTTGGACGGCTGTCTGTGGGACCCAGCAGGCCTCCTAACAGTCTCTGGTTGGACTCCAGAGAGAGGCCGTGGAGAAAGCGGACAAACAGGTCCAGGTGGCCATTTTCACTTCTGAGGGATTTCTCCATGGCTCTCTTCAGGAAGACATCCAGGGATGAGTAATCCTGATCACTCTGCAGGAAGTCCTTCAGGACCTTTTTGTTCCTGTTGGTGTAACAGTGCAACATGTAGACTGCAGCCAGAAACTCCTGAATGCTCAGATGAACAAAGCAGTAGACTGTTTTCTCAAAGATCACACTCTCTCTTTTGAAGATCTGTGTACAAACTCCTGAGTGCACCAAGGCCTCGGTGACACCAAGGCCACAGCGCTGCAGGTCTTCTTGGTAGAACATGATCTCTCCTTTCACCAGATGTTCAAACGCCAGCCTCCCCAGCTTCAGAAGAAGCTCCCTGTCAGCCTCCGTCAGCTGCTGTGGACTCGTCTCATGTCCCTCTTCATACTTCTGCTTCTTCCTCTTGGTCTGGACCAGCAGGAAGTGTGAGTACATGTCAGTGAGGGTCTGGGGCAGCTCTCCTCTCTGGTCTGTAGTCAACATGTGTTCCAGAACTGCAGCAGTGATCCAGCAGAAGACTGGGATCTGACACATGATGTGGAGGCTCCTGGAGCTCTTGATGTGAGAGATGATTCTGCTGGACAGGTCTTCATCACTCAATCTCCTCCTGAAGTACTCCTCCTTCTGGGCGTCAGTGAAGCCTCGTACTTCTGTCACCCTGTCCACACACTCAGGAGGGATCTGATTGGCCGCTGCAGGTCTGGAAGTTATCCAGACGAGAGCCGAGGGAAGCAGCTTCCCCCTGATGAGGTTTGTCAGCAGCACGTTGACTGAGGACTGCTGAGAGACATCAGACACAACCTTATTGTTTCTGAAGTCCAGAGAAAGTCTGCTTTCATCCAGGCCGTCAAAGATGAGCAGCACTTTGCAGACAGCCAGCTGCTCTGCTGTGACCTTCTGTAAGGTGGGATGGAAAACATGGAGCAGCCTGAGAAGACTGTACTGCTCAGCTTTGATCAGGTTCAGCTCCCTGAAGGAGAGCGGGATCACCAGACTCACATCTTGGTTTCCCAAACCCTCGGCCCAGTCCAGAGTGAACTTCTGCACTGAGATGGTTTTTCCAACTCCAGCGACTCCGTTGGTCAGGACCGCTCTGATGAGAGTCTGTTGGTCAGGTGAGGCTTTAAAGATGTCCCTGCACTTGATTGGAGTGTCATGGAGGGGCTTCTTCTTGGAAGCTGTCTCCAGCTGCCTCACCTCATGCTGGGTATTAACCTCTTCACTCTGGCCTTGTGTGATGTAGAGCTCAGTGAAGATGCTGTTGAGGAGGGTTTCACTTCTATCAGTTCCTTCAGTCACACGTTCACATCTCCTCCTCAGACTGAGCCTATGTTCATCTAGAACCTCCTGCAGACCACTCTCTGCTGGAAGAGAAGCAAACAGGAGAGAATCAGGAACATGCTCTGAGAATCTAATGAAAAAACTGAGTTTAAATGTTTTATAAACAGCTTAATGTCTCTGCTCTACAACAGTATACAAATGAACCAGGAAGAGGAATGAAGCGCTGCAGGAGTTCGGCCTCTTACCTCGTGCAGTTCTGGTCTGCCTGGCAGGACTCCTCCTCTTCCCTCTGTGGAGATGAACACATCCTTTATAGCACTCTACATTAGTGGAGCTGATCCTCACCAATGGGCCGAGCGTCACTTTACACTCAAGATGAAATGTTTCACGCTGCACGAATACGCAGGTGACACGAATTTCACATCTTCACTTCCTGTGTGTTGCCAGGCACAGATCTGGGCTTTGCATTGACTACATGTAATCTAAAAAAAAACGTTATATATATGTTTTGTTTTGCCTGTCCTTGTTTGTCTACCCTCCCTCATAAGCGTCTTTGAATTCCAGAAAAGCGCTATATAAATATAATGTATTATTATTATATCTGCTAGGGCTGGGAGTCACCAGGCTCCCCGCGATACGATACTATTGCGATACTTAAGCCACGATACGATAGTATTGTGATCCTACGATATGCTAAGTATTGCGATACGATATATTGCAAATCACATGGGTCGTATCCATGTCCGTCTTCCCTTCCTGGTTAAAACATGTATTTGCAATATGAATAGTTTATGTAAATAACCCAATGTGTGTTCTTTGAACCTGAAAAGGAGATGGCATTGTTTTTGTTACTTTCATTGCAATTGTATTCATGTCTTAATGTAACTTCCTGTTTTATATACGACCATCTTTTGGATATGCTACAGTTTATATATTTTTTAAAACTTGGCATCCGTGTATCGATACAATATCGCCACGCAAATATCGCGATACTATGCTGTATGGATTATTTCCCCCACCCCTAATATCTGATAATGCTAAACACAACCAGCTCACCAGGTTATCACTATTATTAATAAACATCTTAATAATACATAAACATGCCCAAGTAGTGAATAATGTTTTCAACTATATATTTAATTTTTAGTTAGTTTTTATCAATATTTGTGCCATTTAAAACCATGTTATGCCACAGATGCAATGATACTATGATTGCATATTGAAATATCCTTAATATATCAGGTTGTATGAAAACTGAATCCTCTTCAGGTCAGTTTACAGCAGAAACTCTTACTCTGTGTCTGAGGGTCCAGGTTCATTTCTGAAGTCTGGAAGCCAGCCTTTAGACCGATCACTCTTCAGAGACAGACAGCTGGAGACTGAAGATGTGTCCTCTTCCTCATCTTTTAAATCACTCATCTTCTCCAGTCTGAGAGTAAGACACACCACACACACACACACACACACACACACACACACACACACACACACACACACACACACACACACACACACACACACACACACACACACACACACACTATAATAACACACTTTTTTCAATCCAAACCATCATAGTAATAAACTTGGTTAAAAACATCAAATCAGTCAGACTTCAGACAGGCCTCCATTTTGACTGCGCTGTCACATGTTCTCTAATTTATTATTATTATATCTGCTAGGGCTGGGAATCACCAGGCTCCCCACAATACGATACTATTGCAATACTTAAGCCACGATACGATAGTATTGTGATTCTACGATATGCTAAGTATTGCGATACGATATATTGCAAATCACATGGGTCGTATCCATGTCCGTCTTCCCTTCCTGGTTAAAACATGTATTTGCAATATCAATAGTTTATGTAAATAACCCAATGTGTTTTATTAGAACCTGAAAAGGAGATGACTTTGTTTTTGTTACTTTCATTGCAATTCTTTTCATGTCTTAAAGTAACTTCCTGTTTTATATACGACCATCTTTTGGATATGCTACAGTTTATATATTTTTTAAAACTTGGCATCCGTGTATCGATACAATATCGCCATGCAAAGTATCGCGATACTATGCTGTATCGATTATTTCCCCCACCCCTAATATCTGCTAATGCCAAACACAACCAGCTCACCAGGTTATCACTATTATTAATAAACATCTTAATAATACATAAACATGCCCAAGTAGCGAATAATGTTTTAGACGATATATTTAGTTTTCAGTTAGTTTTTATCAATATTTGTGCCATTTAAAACCATTTTATGACACAGATGCAATGATACTATGATTGCATATTGAAATATCCTTAATATATTAGGTTGTATAAAAGCTGAATCCTCTTCAGGTCAGTTTACAGCAGAAACTCTTACTCTGTGTCTGAGGGTCCAGGTTCATTTCTGAAGTCTGGAAGCCAGCCTTTAGACCGATCACTCTTCAGAGACAGACAGCCGGAGACTGAAGGTGTGTCCTCTTCCTCATCTTTTAAATCACTCATCTTCTCCAGTCTGAGAGATACATCAGTAGACACACACACGCACGCACACACACACACACACACACACACACACACACACAAACATTATAATAACACGCTTTTTTCAATCCAAACCATCATAGTAATAAACTTGGTTAAAAACATCAAATCAGTCAGACTTCAGACAGGCCTCCATTTTGACTGCGCTGTCACATGTTATGTAACTCTGACGGAGCAGCAAACAGGAAATACAAAGAGTTAGCAGAAGTCTCATTGGACTCAAGGACAATGATTTTTAACAAAGAAGTTATGTTATCAGTCTAACAGAGTAAATAATGAATATTTTAGAAAGCAGATCTTGGTGTTTACACTCACCCCGTTGTTCTCCTTCTGCTCCGTGAGCTGTAAAATGGCGTCTGGCTGTCTGGCAGTCTTACTACTTTCACTTTCAACTTCCCTCCCTGTCTGCAGCTCCTCCCTTTGTGTTATAACCAGCCTTATCAGCTGAACCAGTTCACATCAAGGTACTCTGTTCAGTGAGATAGAGCTAAAAACAAGCTCAACAAAGTTATTGAAAACATGAATACCAGTGTGGAAATAACCCAGTAAACATCCTGCATTCAAAACCTCACTGAAGTTAAAGTGTTGAGGTATTTAAGTACTCTAGTGTTAACTGTGCATTCAATTGTTCCCTATTATATACATGTGTTTCTGGATTATTAACCCTGCTGCATTTATTGCATCTATTACTCTATTCTCCCAGAATATGAATGGACTTTTTAAAAAAAACTGAGTCCTTCTACTTTTACTCAAGTACAAGATCTGAGTACTTATACTTTTACTCAAGTACAAGATCTGAGTACTACTACTGGTACTCAAGTACAAGTGTAACAGTTGTGATTATGCAGTGGTGTTTATGTGTAAATAATTTAGTATAATCACACACATTCTGTGTTTTATTTTTAATAATTCTGTATTCTTCATTTATTGAATGTTCAATACCTGACAAGGTCGGAGGTCAGTGGGCGGAACCTCTGAAACTTAGTCACTGTACTCAGAAGATAATTTTTGTGGGGACTTCCCCCTTCCTAATGTGTCCCTCACGTTTCCTCTTGCCTTTTTGTAAATGTTCCATGTGAGAGGAGTCACTGTGAGGGATACTAAATGTAATACTGATTTGTTATCTTTGGTCAGATAGTCAGTGATTAAACTGATATCGTCTAAACCACAAATGTCAAACTCAAGGCCCGGGGGCCAAATCCGGCCCGTGGTGGATTTAATTTCGGCCCGCAGGATAATTTCTAATTACTATTAGATCTGGCCCGCCGGTATACCAGCGAACCGTCTATCACAACTGGACCTTCTGTAGACACACACACCTCCTACCGCCGCTGACCCCCCCTCCCCCCCCCCTCCCCGGCATTATAATGTTCGTCTTTTCACTGAATTGTCGTCTTGAAAAAGGTACTCACAACAATTCCGCAACAACTTCACCTGTTGCACTTGTCATTTCAACGTTAAAAACAATAAAACGGCATGAATTGCTTCGTCGCATTCATCTATCCTCTGTCTCGAGCCAGTTAACTAGCGGGCCTTCTAGAGCAGTGGTTCCCAACCTGGTGGGCACGCCCCCCTTGGGGGGGCGCCAAAGATCGCAGGGGGGGCACCAGGCCTCAGATGATTTGAGGCCAAATATCATATTTAGACTTTTTTTTGTACACATAATTGTAAGGCAATACATGATTGTCACTAAAAGCCTTGTCATTACAATAAAATATACAAAATAATTGATTATTTAGTTTTAATACAAATTCAAGTTAGTATTAAAGGCATAAAAAGACAGAAATGTATAATTATTTCTTTAATAGAAATGTTTCTTCTGCCCATAAAGTGTCCAAACCAGGCTTGTCTGGATAAGCGCATTTTTAAAACATAGTCATTGTCCATGCCGGTTTCAGTTGGATTATTTGTCACAGTTGCTCCGATCAGATCGGTCTCCTCCATTTTGTAGATTATTTACGACTTTTGAATCCACATAAACACATCGGCAAAATCCGGCTTACTTTGAGCAACAGTTGAATCCCTTTGTGAATTGTTTCCACTTGAGCCGTCCTTTAATTTCTTCATACAGCGGGAATCCAAATAAATTAATCCTGAGTCCAATAACCATCAAAGTCACTCCAATAGTGCTCCTTAATTATGCTTTCATCCTCCTTTAACAAAATACTTCACATTCATCTAGTTTGTGACAGTAGTTGTAGCATTTTGAGACTTTTAAACTTGAATTACCGCTTATGCGCCCTTGGGGGGGCTCTTGAGCAGGGGCGGTTCTAGGGGGGGGGGGGGGAGTGCCCCCCTAACACTGACCTCTGACCCCCCTGTGGCCCCCCCAACAATGAAAAGTTTTTGTTTTTTTTTAAACGTATATTTTCTGTTTGCCAAAAACCGCAGGATTTTGTTGCTGTAATGTGAGATTGTGCAGAAAACCCTTATGTAAAGTAGAGATGTAACTGTTCATTGCCTTTATTTTTATATAAATATGGTGTTAGTGCAAATATTGCACTATAACTTAAGCTGAAGCTAACAGTAATAACTATAAGATATATCTGAAATAAATAAGTGTACTGAAACAAATACCAATAACTGTATTGCATTGTTTTCTTATGCGCAATTACTTCATACTGTCTAGTTCTCTTTTTCGTCCTGCATTTATTGTGCCCCCCTCAGAAAATAACTGGCCCCCCAGTGGCCCCCCCCAGTCAAATTGGTCTAGAACCGCAACTGCTCTTGGGAAAAAAGGTTTGGAACCACTGTTCTAGAGTACCCTGGAACAATAGGGTTTCACCGCGGCTGTCAGCTGTGTTTACTCCATGGTTTACTCGCATCATTCAAACAAGACGCGCTGGCTCGGGAGCTACAACTACAACAAAATGAACATATTTTACCGTGATTGAATTGTAATACACGTTTCAAAATGGTGCCGAAGTAACAACATACTGATACCGGTCTGCAGACAAGACGGCAGGCGAAAAACCTTTTAAAATGCGTGTTTTCTGAATGAAGATCGGGTCGACCAGGCTAAGCTAACGTTGTATATGCTCCGTCCCCACTCATAACAACGGCCTACAGACATAAATAAACCAGTGACTGTATTCGCCATGACACAGACAGTCTGTGGTTTGTACTTGTTTAACTTGTGTCCAGTTTCTGAACAGATATGAGGAGCTGTGAGCTCGGCTAACTGCTAACGGCTGATGTTTTAGTTTTGTGGTTCTACTTCAGTGACGGCAGGCTGAGATCCTCACCGCTGATTGGCTACCGCGAGATCACGTCACGGGAATTTGACGCTCGAGTTGAAAAAATTGAACATGAGCGTTTGTCGCGGCCCCCTCCAATCGCCTCAATCGCGCCGCGACATTCGCATCAACCGCTTCATGCTCGCCGTCGGAGCGAATTCGCGTCTGTCCGCGTCTCTGCATTAATAATAATAATAATAATACATTTATTTTGGGGGGCGCCTTTCATAACACCCAAGGACACCTTACAGGGTTACAGATTTACAATTTACATTTACAATTTTACCTTACAAATTAAAACAGTGGATTTAGTGAAGTATCAGCCGGGGTAAGACAAGACAAACAACAGGAAATGGACTACAGAAGGACACAAAGGGACACAGGGTACAGATTATAAAGAAAATGCCAGTTTGAACAGGTGGGTTTTGAGTTGGGTTTTGAATGTTGTTATGGAATCAGACTGTCGGATGTGTCGTGGCAGGGAGTTCCGGAGTCTGGGAGCCGAGCAGCTGAAAGCTCGAGCACCCATGGTTTTGAGGCGAGAGCTTGGGACGGTGAGAAGTCCTACGGACGAATAGCGGAGGGTGCGGGAGTGGGTGTACTCCTGAAGGAGGTCAGTGATGTAGATGGGGGCAAGGTTATGGACAGCTTTGTATATGAGTAGAATGTTTTTGTAGTCAATACGGTAGCCAGTGTAGCTGAGTGAGAATGGGGGTGATGTGGTCGGATGAGTTGGTGCAGGTGATGATCCGGGCAGCAGAGTTCTGAATTATTTGCAGTCTATTGAGGAGCTTGATGGGAAGGCCAGTCAGAAGTGCATTGCAGTAATCAATCCGGGATGTGACGAATGAGTGGACCAGGATTTGACTTTACATGTAGGCTAATCGCGCCGCCCCCAAACATCGCATCGCGTCCGCTGTGAACGCAGCATTAGTCCCGCCCACAGGAGATGCGAGCGGAGGAATCGAGGAGGGGAACCGAGGAGAGAGGAGGGGAAATTAGTGAAATAAGAAAGGCCCTCTATGGCACCTAACTAGACAACATGAATAAGAAGAAGGCTGCAAAAAAGAAAGAAATGCATTTAATTTTTCATTATAAAATGACATGAGTGAATCTTGGACTAAATTGAATGTAACGTTTATCAAATATTTGTATTTTATTGCAATTGTTGTTAGTTAGTGCAGAAATAGAAGTTAGTTAGGTTATATAAAAGTATGAAATGAAATATTTATCAGACAAATTGTTGTATTTGTTTGCTTGCTTTCACTTTATAATGTTATTTTTATTTAAATGTTGTTGCTGAATTTGGTTAAAACTGCTCTTAGAATATGCAAAATCTTTATCTACAAGTCAAAGGATCTCAATTAGGAAGGTAAGTGCAATTGTAAGACATAATACTATAGAAACACAGTACAATATCTACCTGAAATGTATAGTATAAGTACTATACATGTGCTGCCAGCAGATGGCAGTGTTGTTGTGTACTCTTCTTTACAGAGTAAAAAAACACGGGAATACCATGAATTGTTTTGGAGATTGCAACATTTTTAAATACTTTGCCAAATATAAAAAGTCCTGCCCTTGCAATCATACTTTAGTGAAGTAATAAAGAGTACAATCAGCTCAGTTAACTTAAAGTATTAGTATCACATCTATGTATATAGGCTACTCGCATTTTAGACTCTGTTACTAACTGTATATCTGTAGACTTGGTATGTCTTAAATGTTCGGTTAGGATGTATTAGAACGAAATCTAAAATGAAAATTGTAAATAAGCAATCTGTATGTAAAAAACCACCTGTATGTAAATTGTAAATAAGCCATCTGTATGTCAAATATGTCTTATATGTCTTAAATGATATGATGAATTGGAAATGGGGGACCCTGATGTAAACAAGACGAAAGTCTTTCTCTGGTCTGCATCCCCTTAACAATTGTATGTTTTGAGCTGTACTGTACTGTACCCAATATACAAGCTGTTAATAAACTTTTCAATCAATCAACAAGTTAATTTGTCTGTCCAAAGCCCAACAGCAGCGACCCACCCTGGAGCACCTACAGCGCCATGGCTTCAACAATGCAACCTTTTACCCAGAAACCCAAAGTGAGAGCATAAGATCTATTGAAATCAGAAAAAGTTATTATTATTATTATTGGCGCAATGAATCACATTTCTGAGGGCCTTAACCTGCTGCCAAGGTTGACCTTATTTTGCAGGATTGTCAGGACTGGTGAAGGCTTTGATATTTGAAGTTATCTCGTTATCGGTGTAGGCAAAAAGGCTCTATAGCTAGGAGGTAAGATTGTTAGTGTTTTATTAAAGACATCACTTAAAGGTGGGGTAGGTCATTTTGGAGAATCCAGCTCGAGTGCGCTAGAATTTGAAAATACACAGCCGAAACAAATCTGCCACTTCCTTACAGAGCCCCTCCTCCAACACACACGAACGCGCACATGACCAATGAGGACATGAGATAAGTTTGTGCCCAGATGGAAGGCTGACAGTCAGGTAGGCCATCCAGTTACTTTAGCCGGGCCGGCTCAGAGGATTGGTCGTGCTTTTTACAGCGCCACAGCTTCCACAGATGACATTTATTTATGGATTTTTTGTCAAAGCACTTCAGATATTCATTGCTATCGGGATGTTAAGAGCATTCCATGGAATATAACAAAAAGTGTATCTCGAGCCGGTTTCTCAAACTTACCTACCCACCTTTAATAAAACCCCAGATTGGCACTCGTGGGAAACTGTAAGCACAGGCGCATTAGTATAAGGCATTTTAGAAGTGATTTAGACAAAGGCATAATGTAAATATTGAATATGACTTATAGGCAAAGAGAAAATATGTTTCTCTTCGGTGTCAAATCCCGAATTTACAACCAATGTGTAGGCCTCTGGGTTAGACCTAAACTCTAGCCTATGGGTGAGTTACAGTGATATCAAAGGTTTATTTATGGTTTTATTATGAATAACAAAATTGCATCGAACAATTTGACATTTTTCCTCTTTTTTTTATTCTGGAGGATTTCGTGCAGATATGCCACATTTTATAAATGATAAACCGGGTATTTAATAGAAAGATCAATTCAGTTGATGCTCAAAACCCTGCTTTGATCGTTTTATGATAAACATTGCTTGTCTAACCCTAACCGTCTAACCCTAGCGTCAAGTACATTCAACATACAAAAAAAGCGACATTTGAAAAAACTAAAACGATAGATTACTTCACGCGAAAAAAATGGCATCACTGCGGAAAATGTGACACTTATTTTTGAGATAATTAAATACTATAAATTAATAATCAGGTGACGAATAGGAAAGCAGTGTTTCCTTTAAACTGTAAAAGGAAACCGCAGCGTCACCAGCAGTGAATCAGCCTGCAGATTTAACCCCACAAATAGGTTAATCCTCATGTTGTTACTTGCAGGGATTAACTTGTAAAATATCGTATGCGGACAACGACTAATGTGACAAGTCCTGTAAGAGTTCAGTTTAAGAGCAAGCATTTAGTAAAGAAGACGTAAAAACAGTGTATCTATCGGCAGGAGAAGATATTCCAGAAAGAGTCAGGAGGAGCGGACGAACAATCCTAATCCAGAATGATCCAGTGAGTCAGATTTAGTCCAGATTAACGCAGCGACTCACCGTCTGAGAGGCAAAGTGAACACAAACACAGACAGATGCATTTAAAACAAGCTGCTGCATATTTGAACGTGTACAACTCAGATCTTTCCTTTGTTTCTGTAACTGGACTACCATTATTTTTAACTGGGACATCACATGGCTCTGCTGAGGTCAGGCTGGCTTTGGAGACAGAGTGAGTATTTGTGTCGTTGTTGTAATATACAGTATACCCTTAATAGTCCGACAGAGGGGACATTTCATTTCAATTCTGCATTTGACCGAGTGTTAGGAGCAGTGGCGTATGCTCTACCTGATCAAAGGACTAATCGCTTTTCAAAATCATGTATCCCTTCTGCACTCAAACTTTTAAATTCTTGAAAGGCTTTAACTTGATTATTTATTTATTATTGTGATGCTATGAACTATTTATAGTGTACATTTGAATTATCTGTGTTCCCGGGTGTATCTGTGTGTTTTCTTCTTGTATGTTTCTGCCTGTGTTCATGACATAAACTGCTGCTCATAACCAATTGCGCCTTGCGGGATTAATAAAGTTGTTGATTGATTGGGCAGCCATTGTGTTATTCATTTGAATCTGTAATTAATGTTGTGTTTTATATATTTTAAGTGTGTTGTTTTTATGAATTTGTACTCTGTAAAGTGTCTTTAGGAGTTTCAAGAATAGCACTCAATTAATTATTATTATGTGTGGCGCCCGGGGAATACATGATACATCCAGGATGCTTATTTTGTTATATGTCATTAAGGGGAAGTAAGAATTGATTGTTATGATAAAAAGCACAATTCCAATTTCTCAAATGTGTGGATTATTAGTTTTTTCTTATAGTTGAAAATGGTTCTTCAGGAAGCTGAACATGAGAGCATTGTCCATTATGTTTGACAACAACATCCTGGGTGTAACAAGAACATTCCCAATAAATCAAGATGCTTGTTTGGCTCTTCTCTTTGACTCGTTCCCAATGAAACCTGTACTGAAGTTAAGGTTTAACGCTGTTTAAGAAGAAAGAAACAATAACAAATATCTGACCCCAGCTCCCCCTCTTTTTCTTTCCCTCGGATATCGTGAATCATATATTGCTATTTTTTTGTAAATCGTGCTCCCCTACTGATGCTCCACTGTGTCTCTCCTCCAGCTTCTGTCCTGAAACGCTGGAAGTTGAACTGGTGCGACCTTTGGATCGATGGGAATCTTTGCTTTTATAAGAACGAGAGCAGGAGAGACCTGGAGCACCGAGTCAGCCTCAAGACAAGGTGTGTGGACGTGAGGTCAGGCCTGGAGTGTGGAGGTAAGATAACCCATACACAGTGGTGCAGTGATGACGTATTTTTGTAGACTGTAGTTGACAGATAGTATCTTTCTGGTTCCCTCCACAACACGGAAATGGGATATTTATTTCCTTTGGATTTAGGATTAGGCCTATTGCAGAAAATAATCAACGTTTATGATACTTAGACGTTTTGTTCAGCAGGATAATCTCCACATATTAACAACATTTTATGATTTCTGAAGTAAAAAGCTAACGTTGGGCTATAAAGGAACTACAGCACGGTCACATGACTTCACATCACCATCGCTAAGCTAAAGGTGGCTAACGTTGGGCTATAAAGGAACTACAGCACGGTCACATGACTTCACGTCACCACCGCTAAGCTAAAGGTGGCTAATGTTGGGCTATAAAGGAATGACAGCACGGTCACATGACTTCACGTCACCACCGCTAAGCTAAAGGTGGCTAATGTTGGGCTATAAAGGAATGACAGCAAGGTCACATGACTTCACGTCACTACCGCTAAGCTAAAGGTGGCTGTTGCACTATAAAGGAAATACAGCACGGTCACATGACTTCACATCATCACCGCTAAGCAGGGGCGGTTCTAGGGGGGGGGGGGGGGGGGGGCAGGGGGGCCAGTGCCCCATAACACTGACCTCTGACCCCCCTGTGGGGAAAAGTTTTTATTTATTTTTTTAAATGTATATTTTCTGGTACTCGGTTTGCCAAAAACCGCAGGATTTTGTTGCTGTAATGTGAGATTGTGCAGACACCCTTATGTAAAGTAGAGATGTAACTGTTCATTGCCTTTATTTTTATATAAATATGGTGTTAGTGCAAACATTGCACTATAATTTAAGCTGAAGCTGACAGTAATAACTATAAGATCTATCTGAAATAAATAAGTGTACTGAAACAAATACCAATAACTGTATTGCATTGTTTTCTTATGCGCAATTACTTCATACTGTCTAGTTCTCTTTTTCGTCCTGCATTTATTGTGCCCCCCTCAGAAAATAACTGGCCCCCCAGTGGCCCCCCCAGTCAAATTGGTCTAGAACCGCCACTGCCGCTAAGCTAAAGGTGGCTAATGTTGGGCTATAAAGGAACTACAGCACGGCCACATGACTTCACGCCACCACCGCTAAGCTAAAGGAGGCTAATGTTGGGCTATAAAGGAACTACAGCACGGTCACATGACTTCACGTCACCACCGCTAAGCTAAAGGCGGCTAATGTTGGGCTATAAAGGAACTACAGCACGGTCACATGACTTCACGTCACCACCGCTAAGCTAAAGGCGGCTAATGTTGGGCTATAAAGGAACTACAGCACGGTCACATGACTTCACGTCACCACCGCTAAGCTAAAGGTAGCTAATGTTGGGCTATAAAGGAACTACAGCACGGTCACATGACTTCACGTCACCACCGCTAAGCTAAAGGCAGCTAATGTTGGGCTATAAAGGAACTATAGCACGGTCACATGACTTCACGTCACCACCGCTAAGCTAAAGGAGGCTAATGTTGGGCTATAAAGGAACTACAGCACGGCCACATGACTTCACGTCACCACCGCTAAGCTAAAGGCGGCTAATGTTGGGCTATAAAGGAACTACAAAGGAACTGTAGTTCCTTTATAGTCCAACACAGAAAATGGAGCTCGAGAAAACCTTTCCAAACAAACAATAGAAACTATTGAAAAACATCTGGGACTTATCTTAATTGCACTTCTGAAACCACAGTTTGATTGACATCCCATTTTCTGCAAGTATAAAAAAGTTCTCATAATAATTATAATAATAAAAATAAATAATAAAAAGCGTCTAACAAGTGACATGTAATAATAATTGCACAAACAGTGTTTACTAAAAGATAAGTATGTCATGTATATAATGCATACAATTAGTATTTAGTATGGAACTGGGACACAGCTTTTATTTGATGATTGCTCTGCAGGAGCACTCATCAGCGAAGCAGTCTGAGATTCATTTATAGGAACAGATTCTTCAGAACAAGACAGAACGTCACTATCCGTCTTCAAGCAAGAATAACAACGAAAAACTTAAAGGGGCCCTATTCTGCTTTATGGTGTCTTCCCTCTCCTGTAGTGTGTTATATAGGTTTTAGTGCATGTACATGGTCTGCAAAGGATAAAGTCCCTGTGTTCCCTCCAGGGGGAGTTTCTCTCTAACACTAACCTTTGTTTACTTCCTTAACATAATGACATCACTATGGAACACTCGCTCTCCTATTGGCTAGGGCTTCAACACCTTGTTCAGATGGATGGATAGATGGATAGATAGATAGATGGATGGATGGATGGATGGATGGATGGATGGATGGATGGATGGATGGATGGATGGATGGATAGATAGATAGATAGATGGATGGATAGATAGAGAAATAGATAGATAGATAGATAAATAGATAGATAGATAGAGAAATAGATAGATAGATAGAGAAATAGATAGATCGATGGATAGATAGATAGAGAGATAGAGAGATAGATAGATAGAGAGATATATGGATGGATGGATAGATAGATAGATGGATAGATAGATAGATAAATAGATAGATAGATAGATAGATAAATGGATGGATAGATAGATAGATAGAGAGATAGATAGATAGAGATAGAGAGATAGATGGATGGATGGATGGATAGATAGATAGATGGATAGATAGATAGATAAATAGATAAATGGATGGATAGATAGATAGAGAGATAGAGAGATAGATGGATGGATGGATAGATAGAGAGATAGAGAGATAGATGGATGGATGGATAGAGAGATAGATAGAGAGATAGATGGATAGATAGAGAGACAGGTACTTTATTGATCCCAATTTGGGAAATTCTTTATTAGGGCTAAGGGGCGGGACATCTCTAGGCGGTTATCCAATCACAACAGAGCCGGCCAGCTAACCAAGACAGAGGGTGTTCATTCTTAAACCGTACTATTATTATTCTCTCAATTGAGTCAGTCCAGTCCTTCGTTATCATTCCAGGTACAGATATAAAGGTTTACTCTAACCCTTTAATCATTGAGACATAACTATATATGTATGAAAAGGTCCTACAAGGTTTCACTTTTTATTAAGCAACTCTCAAAATGACCTACACTTAAAGCTATCATGCAAAATGCACTTTTGTACGTCTTTTATACATGAATATGTGTCCCCGGTGATCCAGGGAACTCACCAAGTGTCAGAAAACACAACCCTCTCTATTTTCCTCCATACCCAAATCTCTAAAAAAGAGTCTGCAACGGATCTGATACAGACTGATCCAGATTTGAACACTTCTATGACGTCACAGAAGTGGCGCTACGGCTATTGGGTCAACTCCACCAATCAGGAGGAGACAGCCACGGACATTGCCGTTCGAACGCGCTGGAGACGCTGTAGTACATATGCCAGGCCTGTAGATGGTGCTGTTCTCACAGAATCAGCCCGTGCTAAGACTGTGTTAAATTGAGCGAAATGAGGAATGGCTAAAATGCATGATCTGTTTGGTATTTTGAAAAATAAAAAGTATAAATATGCCTTACATAGGTATGGTCCTACACTATATCATTCAAATATAGCATGATAGGTCCACTTTAAGTATAAAGAGACCTCGCTCTTTCTCTGATGTTTGGAGTGATTTAACACAGATGACAACTTGCATATTTTATAGTGAACTGCTCCTTTTTATAATGTGTGTTCTCTCTCCAGGAGTGCCTCCTCCAGAGAGTAATCCCAGGGAGAACCTGATCGTGGTTCAGCTCTCTAACGGCTCCACAGTCAACCTGTGTGCTAACAGTGAGGATGAGTCCATGTAGGTTTCTCCACTTCTCTCATGTCATTATTCACTCTAGCTTTCAAACTAGCTTTAAACTCTGATCAACAATTAGGGCTACAGTCTATGGGTGTTTCTCAATCTCGAGTAAAGTTGCTCCAGAGCCACTATTTCAAGTATACTACGTCATCGAGTGCCGCCGAAGGACTGTTCCAATGTCCAGCATACTTGGAAATCTACCGAGCCCGGCGTACTTCGTTTGGAGACATTTCGAGGCTGCACATGGGTAGACTGCGCGGTCTTAAAATCCCCACAATGCTTTGCGCACGGACCAATTTCCCCAAATCTGTGGTGGAAAATGTAAGGCGGGGCATTGCATCTGACGCACACCTGCACACTTGCTCGCCTGTTCCACTCAATGCCAGGAAGGATTCTTGCCTCGCTTCTGAAGCAAGTTACTCGGAAGACATGTGCTACCAAGCAAGCGTACTCGACATTGAGAAACACCCTATGTATTTGGTTTTCTTTGTTCTGTTCCTGTTCGGATTTGACGTAAAGCGTCTTTGAGCATTAGGAAACACGCTATAGAAATCCCATGTATTATTATTATTATGTCTTCTTTTCTCTGCTTCACTTTACATCTTCACAGCTTCTTGTCTTTCTTTCAGAGCGTGGAAACTGACTCTGCTCGACACCAGGAGAAACCCCGTGAGTTTTATTTAAATTTTAAAAAGCTGAGTTTTGATCTGCTTATACTGTCAGAGCTGTTATTTCAAACCGTTCTCTCTCTACAGGTGTTTCAATACGACCCATACGAAGACTCCTACGAAGCTATCCCCATCAACAGCTACCACACGGTCTACATCACACCTGGAGCAGGACCAGGTATGTTGAAATAAATAAATGAAGAGACGCCTTTCAGGACATTATTTCAGAGACAAAATAAATAGTGATTATTTATTGGTTACATTAGCAATGCATGGAACAATTCATGATCAATGAATGTGTTATATAGTGTAGTTGTTTTATATTGGTTCATATTTAGCAGGACACAGCTAGACCTTCATCGTATGCAAATGTGCCCAAAAGCAGTTTAGTCCAATACATGCCTATCTTTAAGTTGTGGGTCACCAAAGCTTTACTTGTTTTTTTCAGGTAAAGGTTATATCACCTGAAATAGTAAGAGTGTATGGTGTAAGACAAGATGAAGTCATACAAAATCAGAATTGGAAAAAGTATTTTTTTTTATCCTGGGAGAAACTCAGAGTTGATTTCAGGCAACACATAAACATTAAAGGGGACCTATTATGCAAAATCCTCTTCTCCATGTCTCTTCTACATCAACATGTGTCCCCTCTTCCTAATGTCTCTTCTACATCAACACGTGTCCCCTCTTCTCCATGTCTCTTCTACATCAACATGTGTCCCCTCTTCTCCATGTCTCTTCTACATCAACATGTGTCCCCTCTTCTTCATGTCTCTTCTACATCAACATGTGTCCCCTCTTCTTCATGTCTCTTCTACATCAACATGTGTCCCCTCTTCTTCATGTCTCTTCTACATCAACATGTGTCCCCTCTTCTTCATGTCTCTTCTACATCAACATGTGTCCCCTCTTGTTCATGTATCTTCTACATCAACATGTGTCCCCTCTTCTTCATGTCTCTTCTACATCAACATGTGTCCCCTCTTCTTCATGTCTCTTCTACATCAACATGTGTCCCCTCTTCTTCATGTCTCTTCTACATCAACATGTGTCCCCTCTTCTCCATGTCTCTTCTACATCAACATGTGTCCCCTCTTCTTCATGTCTCTTCTACATCAACATGTGTCCCCTCTTCTTCATGTCTCTTCTACATCAACATGTGTCCCCTCTTCTTCATGTCTCTTCTACATCAACATGTGTCCCCTCTGTGGAAAGAGACTCTGAAAGTTCCAGGAACAAAGATTCTCTCTCTTTTTGATCCATTTCTATAAAAACCTGTCTGAAAATGAGCTGATCAGATTTTGGCCACTTTATGATGTCATAACGATGTGTTGGCTTGTGTAACCATTAGCCAATCAGCAACCAAGGTAACCCCCCCCCCCCTATCACCTGAATCTCCTCCTAGAGCACCATTGAGTTCTTTGTAACCAAATCTCTCTCAGAGGGGCGTGGGGAGGGGCTCCTTATTTTCATCTAAAGTAACAGACAGAGAATCAGCACTTTGGAAACAGGGCTGAAACAGAGGGGATTATGGGTAATGCTGCCATGATCTGTTTGGTGTTTCAGCCAATCAGAGACAGGTTCTGGATATATCTGAGACCTGTGATATATTGATGAGAAACAGTATGATAGGGGACCTTTAAATGTGTTTCAGGGACGCACCAGGTTCTGGTTCAGAGGGACCCGTTCGACGGGGCGATGGAGCGCATGGCTCTGGGTTTACTGGCTGGGATGGCAGCAGGGACGGCCATGAGGTCCTTCCTCTACATGCCCTTCTTCTTCTGCTGAAATAACCCCCCTCACTAACAAGGAAACACTGCATGCACCTGTCTGTGTGGGAAGACAACCCTCTGATTTTATATCATGTCTGCTGTAACGCTGCTCTTCTGGTTGTTCTGTCTTTATGTGCACGTTAGCATTCGACACTTAAGAAGCTGAAAACTTGCTTTATGGAAACACTTAATTCCTGATAGTAAAGAA